CGCCGTGAGTCTGCAGCCACGGGTCCGCGTCCCCGCCCTAGCAGCCGTGGAGGAACCCCGCCCTGGTGCAGGTAACCACCCGCACGTCCCTCCCGCAGGCCCCCGGCCTCCACCCCGCGCTGCCCGCCCGGGGCATTCTAGGTCCCGACGTACCTGCGCGTCCGAGGCCTCCCTAGCCCTTGCGGTCTCCGCCTCCGACCAGGCCCTGGCCCCTAGCGATGCGGCCGCCCTCCTGCTGTTTGCCAGCCTCCTCAGCCAGGTCCCCCGCCACCCCGGCCCTGGTCCCTTCGCGCTGCGGCCGCCCGGTCCTTAGACAGCGAGGTCCCCCTGCGTGCCTGCGGGAGGCCCGGGCCCGCACCCCTGCACCTCTTGGTTGCAGCCGAGCCTTTTCGTAGGCCCCGAGGGACGCCCCCGAGGGTTCCTTGGGGTGACTGCTGCCGCAGCGTCACCAGCAGACCGATTGGTGACCCTGGTTAGTGGTAAATTGAACACTGAGGTATGGATGCGATTTCCTGGGGTGTCTGCGGTGGAAAGCAGAACTTGAATTAGTCCTTTGAAATTGCATTCACCGATTTGTTTTCAAGAAAGGTGGCCCCTGTAGACCTTTGTATTGTATTACTCCTCCTAATATATTTTGTGTGATCGATTTTTCTTTAATTTTATTTTTGTTCGGTGATATTTGTTTTTAAACATTAGTGTTTTGAGAGGCAGTGCAGTATGTAGCAGAAACAGCTGCTATATAACAAGAGGTGATTTTTAGAGTTCTTCAAGATGGAAGGCCATCCATCAAGTCCTCATGGCTCCATCCTCAAAATCTAAAGTGATTAACTGTCTTTATCTTTATCCTTTATGTTTTAATTGAAGATCTTAAGTTTATACGTCTGGAGTATCTTAAAGCAAATCCCTCAGGTAGATTCTTAAGTATATACTGTATCTGTGATACCTAGAAGATGTAAGGACTCCTTTTTAAAAAATATATACATATATGCCATAATAGAATTGTCACACAGAACCAAAATTAACATTAATTCCTTGACACCATCCAGTAGACTAGTAGACTCAGTCTGTTAGAATAGCCACTGATATATTCTAATGTCTTACTGAATCATGTTCAATTTTCCCCAATTGTCTTTTTAAATTATTTTAAAATAATTTCACATTTACAGAAAAGAATAATTTAAAGTACTCTACTTCCCCCCCCCCCCGCAGATTAGCCAGTTTATATTTGTTCATGCTTTATTCTGTTTATACATGTGCATACACATGCTATCTAGAAGCTATTTTGACTTTCAAAATACTTTTTTTTTCTAAACTATTTGAGAATGGGTTGGGTATGTCATGCATTCATGTATTCGTCTCTATAATAATCAATATAATGTGTATTTCCTTAGAGCAATGATGCTTTTTTATAATCAAGTACAATTGTCAAATTTGGAAAATTCAGCATTGGCACATCACTTTTATCTATGTTGTAGTTTATATTCTAATTTTGCCAGTTGTCAGAATAATGCTTTTTGGAGGTGGGTACCAGGGATTGAATCAGGGGCACTGGACCACTGATCCACATTTCCATTCCTATTTTATTTATATATATATATATATATATATTTATATTTATTATTGGTTGGTCAGAACATTACATAGCTCTTGAACAGCATGGTACTGGTACCATAACCTATTTTATATTTTTATTTAGGAACAAGGGCTCACTGAGTTGCCTAGCTGCCTCCCTTTTGCTGAGGTTGGCTTTGAACTCTCAATCCTCCTGCCTTGCTTGGCCTCCTGAACTGCTGGGATTATAGGCATGTGCCATTGCGCATGCCTGTCTCAGAATGATGTTCTTTTTTTTAAATATTTTTAGCTGTATATGGACACAATATCTTTATTTTATTTATTTATTTTACGTGGTGCTGAGAATCGAACCCAGTGCCTCGAACATTCTAGGCAAGCACTCTACCACTGAACCACAACTTCAGCCGCCCAGAATAATGTTCTTTATAGCGTATTTTCTTTTCTGTTACAGGATACAGTACAGAGTATTATTCCATTTACTTACCTTGTATAGTTAATCATGTTTAATTTAATTTTTTTTGTAGTTGTAGATGGATAGAATGCCTTTATTTTATTTGTTTATTTTTATATGGTGCTGAGGATCAAACCCAGTGCCTCACGCATGCTAGGCAAGTGCTCCGCCACTGAGCTACAGTCCCAGTCCCAACATGTTTAATTTGAGACAACTCCTGAACCTTTGTTTCTCATGACACTGACATTTTTAAGAAATTATAACCCATTATTTGGTGTCATTTTTCTGAATTTTTTTTTAATGAATAGACTTAGATTAGCATTTTGAGGTTGGAATACTATATAAGCAAATATGTCCTTTTTCAGATGATAACATCTAGAAGAGCATCATGTCTACCCCTTATATGGTTAAGATGTTATCCCTTTTCTCCATTGTACTGCTAGTTTTTCTTTTCAAATTAATAAGTAATTTGTAGGGAGATACTTGCAGACTATGTAAATATCCCGTTCCTTATCAGATTACTGACTTCTACTCTGCTTGATTTAGCATCTGTGTTGATAAATGTGGCCTGAGAATCAGTTTTCCTATAATGTTTGCAAAATGGTAACTTTCCACATCTGCCACTTTTATCAGTATAATCATTAGTAAACTATAACATGTTGAGCACTTATTGCTCACTATCCCAGATGTGTTCCTTCAAACACATTCCTTTTTTCTTTCTTTTCTTTTCTTTTTTTTTTAATGGGGTAGAGGTTGAACCTAAGGTCTTAAATGTTTAGTGTGTATTTTTTTAAAAAAATACACAAGGATATTCTCCTGCCTAACTGCAGGAAAACCACTCCCATGAGAAAACTAATGCATCACAACCATTGAATTCCTAGTTTCTCTTCATTTTCGAGTTTTCCCAGTTGTCCATTATATTACTCTTTATAATATGATGAAGTCTACAGTTACTCATTGCATTTAGTCATCTGGTCTTTTTGGGACTGTTTCCTCAGCTTTTCATGACTTTCATGACCTTGATACCTTTGAAGCTTATAGATCAGTTATTTTGTAGCATCCCTTAGTTTGGGCTTATCTGATGTTTCCTTTTGATTGGATTCAGGTTATACATTTTTACAACATATGTCCAGAGGTCTTCTCATTTCACCTATAAGTTGGCACATGATTTCCATTTGTCCCATTTCTAATAGCATTCATTTTGATCATTGGATTAAATGGAGTCTGCCTTGCTCCTATGCAAATATCTTGTTTTCCATCAAATGTCATATTTATTCATTTTTGTGGATTCAGTTTCCTATTTTAATACATTAGTATAATATTTTGTTTGTTTTTAGAGATGGGGTCTTGCTTTGTTGCTCAGACTGGTGTCAGACTCCTGGGCTCAAGTGATCATGCTGCCTAAGCCTCTCAAATAGGTGAGACTATAGGCAAGTGATACTGCACCAGCTTAAAATTCATTTTGATGCTCAGTTATTCTCAGTTGGGTCAGTGAAACTCCCTTTCACAATGATTTCTGTGTCCTCTTTCTACTTGGGCTCTAGCTTACTGTGCAGGGCTGTCCAACTGTGTGATCATCCTTCCAAGATTCTCCTAATGGCCATTCTCCCAAGATTATGCTCTCCCACTCTGCCTGTACTCTCATGCCTCATGCATATTAGGGCCTTCACCTGAGTATCCTCTTCACTCTGCTTGGCTCTAATGGACTATTCTTGGCCTCTGCCATAGCCATCCCACCCCACTCAGTGTGGGGCTTGTCAGGCATCTCTCACTTCATGCCATCTCAGGACTTTGTTTTCCTTTGAGCTAGTTGGGGCTTTCCCACAGCTTGGTGGGCTCTGGGCATTAGATGGCTTATGTAGTGATTGGTGCTTCATGGGTAATTATTCCTAGGAGCAAGGTAGAAGGTGTATTATCTTTTATGATTTAGCCTTAGAAAATGCATAGCATCACTTCCATTGTACTCTCTTAGTCATATAATCACAAAATCTGGCCCTACATCAGAGGAGGAGGCAAAGACCACAGCACTCAGTGGGAAAAGTATCAAAGTCACTGTATAAGCATTTGAGATGCAAGATTTTGGGCTCGGCACGGTGGTGCACACCTACAATTCCAGTTGCTCAGGAAGCTGAGGCAGGAGGAGGATCGTGAGTTCAGAGCCAGCCTCAGCAATGATGAGACGTAAGCAACTCAGTGAGACCCTGTCTCTAAGTAAAACACAAAATAGGGCTGGGGATGTGGCTCAGTGGTTGAATACTCCTGAGTTCAATCACGGGTACCCCCCCAAAATAGATTTTATTGTAGCCATCTTTGCCAACTGCAGTCTGCCACAGTGAGCAAAGGAAATGACATAGATAGAAACTTTGTCATCAGAATGCTTCCCAGTTCATATTTATCTTTATTGTATGAAAAATAACTTATTAAGAGGTCAAATACATTTTGCCTGGCTATTTAAGATATAAGATATTAAATGATTCCTCAGTCTGTTACCTTAAAGTGTTAACTTACAGGGCTGGGATTATGGCTCAGTGGTAGAACACTTGCCTAGCATGTGTGAGGCTACTGTGTTTCATTCTCAGCACCGCATATAAGTAAATAGAATAAAGGTCCATTGACAACTAAGAAATATATATTTTTTTTTTAAAAAAAGAGTTAACTTACTTGAGCTATTGAAAAAGTAATTATCAAAACTTTATGAAAATTCTAAATTTAGATGCTTAATAAACTATTTTTTTTTAAAGAGAGAGGAACAGAGAGAGAGAGAGAGAGAATTTTTAATATTTATTTTTTAGTTTTCGGCAGACACAACATCTTTGTTTCTATGTGGTGCTGAGGATCGAACCCGGGCCGCACGCATGCCAGGCGAGCGTGCTACCGCTTGAGCCACATCCCCAGCCCTTAATAAACTATTATTACTATTATTTTCAGCATCTTATGAATGGTTTTTACTTAATTAGCCATTGATATCTCAACAAGCATGGAGATAAGATTAGAAGTTTTGACATCAACAAGTATCAAACAGAAAAAACCCTGGCCTAGAATTTCCTGGTTGGGACAGGTGAGTTTTTCCTTGTTCATACAATACCAGTTTTATATATGTTAAGTGTGTGTGTTTTTTCTGTAAGATATAGGATGTCCTAGAAGCTCAAAGAAATCAAGCAGCAATTTTAGAGAATTTCTTGCCCCCTGAACAGGTTTTGCTTGTGTTTTGTTTTTGTTACAAGCAAGTTAGCTTCAGAAAGTTAGGTGGTCTGTCTAGAAGAAAATTTTTACTTTCAGAAAAATCTTTTCTTTGTTATGTTTAAGTAGGGTAAGATGGTATATATCAAAAGGAAATGTTTAGTCTCCTGAAACTCCTTTAGTTGAATATTGGAGTGTTTCTTACTACTGTGATTTTCATGACTCTGGCTCATCAGAGCTAAGACAGAAGAGATGAGCCACATGTGTCAATAATCCAGGAACACCATTCATAAAATCTAACGTAGGTTCTTTACCTTAGGGAAAGTGGTGTGTGTGTGTGTGTGTGTTTTATATATAATAAATAGTGATTAATGAAGTAAATAAAATGTCAAGTTTCCTGGGAGAAATTTTATCACTAATTATCAGGCATTTTCAATCTTTATGACACATCAGAATCATCTGGACAGGTTATTAAAACAGATTGTGGTGTGAACCAGAGATATGAAAACTTGTGCTCTATATGTGTAATGTGAATTGTAATGCATTCTGTTATCATATATAACAAATTAAAATTAAAAAAAAAAAAAAAACACCACCAAGTTTCCAACTCTACATCTTTTGGAGGGTTGTGTAGTTTGCATTTCTGACAGATTCTCAGGAGCTGCTTGCTGCTGCTGTCTCACAAATGCCTTGAAAACCCCTGCTCCAGGATGTACAAAACCAAGGTTCATTCAAAACAGCCTACTTTTGCTGGGCATGGTGGTGCACACCTGTGATCCCAGTGACTTGGGAGACGGATGCAGGAGGATCACAAGTTCAAGACCAACTTCTGCAAGTTAACAAGACTCAGTGTCAAAAAATAAAAAGGTCTGGGGATGTAGCTCAATGGTAAAGTGTCCCTGGGATCAGTCTTCTGTATCAAAAAGTAAAATAAGTAAATAAATAAACAGCTCACTTATTCTAATCAACAGATGATCTGTGTCAAGGGTTTATGAATTTTTTGAAACCATACCCATGTTAATCTAGTAAATCATATAAAAACTTACCAATATTACTTTTAAAACTGATAAGAGATTAAACAGTGGGAAACAGTTTTGGCTAGCAGAATTGGAAGATACTCCTATAATGTTAAATTTCAAAGAAATTTCAGTGTGGCTGTTAGGCCACCTTACTTATTTTTTTGTAGTGTTGGGGATGTTCCAGGAACCCAGGGCCTCATGCATGCTAGGGAAGAGCTCTACCATTGAGCCACACCCCCAGCCCATAAGAGTTTTAAAATGGAATAAAAAATCTTTAAATTACTATAGAATAGCAACCTTAGTGTTTATTTTATGATTTGTGATGCAAACTACAATCTTTCCTAAGTGTTATTTTGTTTTCCCCCTGGCATAATTTATTTAGACATTAGACAAGAAGTTGAATTAATTTTTGGAATCACCTAGTCCTTCACATGTTTTTTCTCTTAGGAAAATGAAGCTGTTTTTCTTTTGGATGGTAAATTCATAAATGAGATTAATTTGCTGTCAGGAAGAACAAAGAAGATTCCTAGTCTGCAGACTTTGTTGAAGAATGTTTTTGTCCTGACAACATCCAGTAATGGTTAAGTAATACAGATATTTTTAAAAGGCTAGACTTACTGTGTTTTTTAAAAACTTAGAGCAATATTAAGAGAAACATTAGGTTAAGAATTGCATTTCTTTTGAATGCAGATGCCTGGTTGGCTGGGGTACTCACCACTGGGGAGCTTTTCCTTTGGAACAAAGATCAAGATTGTTTGAAAACTCTACAAGTAACTGAACAGCCTAAGGAAATGATAAAAGCCTCTGTAGGTGGGGACTTTTTATTTGTTAAATTGGTTTAACTGGGAGAAATAAAAGGAAAAGAGGATGAAACATTTTTCTATTATTTTGAAAATGTATCTCTGTGTGCATTTGCGCATATATATGTTTCTGTATATATGTTTTTAAATTTTTTGGTAGTGTTTTTCTGTGATACCTATGTTTATCTATAATACCTAGATAAAACTTGAAGAAAAGTCTACATGCCTAACATTCTGCAATAAGTGGGTTCCTAATGCCATATAATAAGTCTGGGAGAATTTAGACTTAGAGGTTTAATTGGGTGATTTGTTTTGTTTTATTTGTTAATTAGGAAGCTCTTCAAGACTACACTTGTATGTTTCTGGAAATGGAAAAAGAGTTCTGCTTATAGCACCTTCTGGATGTGTATTTCTTTGGGAATATTTGGAATTAAAGAATATTGTATCTTCAAAAAGCCTCATATTGGTGGGTCAGTGGTCCCAGATCATACCTGAAGAAGCAGTTCTTTTGCCTTCTACTGATGATAAAGAAGCTGTAGTGAATGCTGTTTTTGTAGAAAATGAGGTAAAATCCAAAGCAGACGATGTGGCAGGAGTTGAGATCTTAGGCTCTAGGAACAGACCCTGTCTGAGAAGCTATTTAGTGGAGGGTGTGATGATATAGTTGTCCGTCTCTAATCAATTATCATAGATGTTGTGAAATTATTTTATGGATAAGATATACTTCTTGAATCACATTTAAACAAGTGTTTATTAGAAATGAGAACTTTTCCCCCCTAATTTGAAATACAACTTGTTTTGTAATTTGTCAAGCTAGAATTGGTGGTATTAAATAAACCTTTTAATACTCAGGAAACAACAGATTTATTAACTAAAAATAAAACATTTAATATAGCTGTGTGGTACTCTGCATGTGTGGCTTAACATCTCATCTAATCTGTTATTAGGAAATTGCATTTTGAAGTTTTATTGCCACTGCTAACTGGGGTGATGCTGTAATATAAATAATTTAAAAGTAGTAAAAAAGAGAAAAATAGCCATTTAAGAATTGACTACTTATAGAACATGTATAAGACCCTGAGTTCAATCCCCAGCACTGCCCCCCACCCCCAAAAAGAAAAACTTTCGACTTATAGTCATAATAAATGGCAGTGTTTAATTTTTAAAATTGGAAAAAAAAATGATACATACTATTTGTGCATTTTATGGGGGTAAATTATGGTAATTTGATACATGTATATATTACGCAATAAATAAACTTAATAAGTATTTATGTGTTCAAAAATAAATATTTTTTGTTTTTTTGGGAGGGCTGGGCGTGTGGCTCAGTGACAGAGCACTTGCCCTGCACATGTGAGGCATTGGTTTTGATCCTCAGCACCATATAAAAATAAACAAACAAAATAAAGATATTGTGTCCATCTATAACTAAAAAATTAAATTAAAAGAAATTTTTTTAAATTTGTTGATGGACCTTTAGTTTATTTATGTGTTTATATGTGAGGATAAGAATTGAACCCAATGCCTCACATATACTAGGCAAGTGCTCTACCCCTGAGCTATAACCACTGCCCCCAAAATAAATATTTTTTTATGTGTTGTGAGTTTCATACTCTCATTTTGAAGTTTATCATAGGTTATTTTAATCAGTAATTATCCTCATGTACTACAGAAAAACCAGAACTATTTCCTCTTCTCTAGAGTTTTTTGTTACCCTTAATTGAAGTTCTTGAGAAGATAAACTGCAGCCTGAGGGACTGGACTGGACTGTTGCTCGGTAGTAGAGCACATGCTTAGCATGTGTAAGACCCTGGATTCAATCCCCAACGCCAAATCTCTCCTCCACCCCTAGTCCCCACCTGATTTCCCATTTGGGATCTGCCTCTGACTCCAAAACAAACAAACAAACAAAATTACTTAGTTTTTAATTTAATGTTAAGAATAAAAATATATTGCCAGGTGTGGTAGTACATACCTGTAATCCCAAGGACTTGGGAGGCTGAGGCAGGAGGATTATAAATTTAAGGCCAGCCTCAGTGACTAGTGAGGATCAAAACAATTTAGCAAGATCCTGTCTCAATAAAACTAAAAAAGTGCTATGATGTACCTCAGTGATAAAGTGCCCCTGGGTTCAATCCCTGGTATAAAAAAATAATATAACCAGGGTCCCAATAGTTTTCATTTGTTTATTTATGATGAGAAATATGTTTTTTGTACATGATTTATTTTCATATTAATTTTATACTAAAATATATTAAATTTATCTACAGTTATTTGGTGACTGCTGCCTGTGTTCATTTACATTTTATTCTGGGGAATGCCTGAAGTTAACGTTTCTAGCAATTCGGTGGCATGAGAATGTATTTACCCCTTTAAGGTGAGGTAAATGTTTGCTTCTTTCTTATTTTCTGTCCCTTTTAAAATATTATTATTATTATTATTTTTTAGAATTTTAATATTTATTTTTTTAGTTATTGGTGGACACAATATCCTTGGTTGTATGTGGTGCTGAAGATCGAACCCGTGCCGCATGCATGCCAGGCGAGCGCGCTACCACTTGAGCCACATCCCCAGCCCAGCCACATCCCCAGCCCTTAAAATATTATTATCTTTTGGTTGTATGCAATTAAGATTTGTAAATGTTAGTGTGAATTTCAGTTTCTGAGGCTTCACAAATCCTTTTTCCCACCTTTCATTTCTAAATGTTTTAAAGTTTTTCTTATTTTTTGTTCTGTTTATCTTTTTGAAAGTGAGAACATGTAAAAGACAAGGCATGCTGTGGTTGTCCTTGTCTTAAAGCTACAAGAACAAATATATTATGGAAAGTCACATATACTGTTGTGCATTTTAAATGCTCAAGTGCTTTTTTTTTGGGGGGGGGGGACTAGGGATTGAAGCCAGGTGTGCTTAATCATTGAACTACATCCCAGTCTTTTTTATTTTGAGACGGGGGCTCACTGGGTTGCTGAAACTGGCATTGAACTCATGATCTTCCTGCCTCATCCTCCAGAGCTACTAAGATTACAGTCATATGCCACCACACCTGGCTCAAGTGCTTTTTTTAAAAATATTTTTATTAGTTGTTTATGAAATTTTTAATTTTATTTATTTATTTGTATGTGGTGCTGTAATCGAACCCAGTGACTCACACATGTTAGGCAAATGCTCTACCATGGAGTCACAATCCCAGCCCCCATCAAGTGCTTTTTAATTAAAATAGTTTTATTCTAAAAAGTTCAATAAAATATAAAAATACATTAGAAGCTCATAAGGTCTAGGATTTAATAAAATGTTAAAAATTTTTATGCCAATAGTACTTTATTAAAATTTTATTAAGATAGTTTACATGAAATGAAAAACCTTTTTTTCAATCAATAATTTTTTTTAATAGCAAATGGGGGTATTTTTAAATTTTTATTTATTTTTTATATGATGCTGAGGATGGAACCCAGGGCCTCACATGTACGAGGCAAGCGCTCAGTCACTGAGTCACAATTCCAGCCCCAATCAATAAATCTTAAGTGTACAGCTATATAGACTTTGACAAATATATACATCTATGTAATTATTGTTCAGATGAAATGTACAACATTAACAGTATCCAAAAAATTTCCTTTTTAACTTCTTTAATCCTTGTGAAAACATTTGCTTCTAATGTAAAAATGTGATTATCTAAACATTTAATTGAAGTAGATGTATTTAGGATTGACTGTGAAACCTGGCTCTATTAACAAACTCTGATATTGAACATGTTTAATTGACTGATAGCTAATCTTTTGTGCCCTGGATAAAATAACTTATCTTTCTCCTTCTCCTCTGCCCTCCTCTTTCTCCCTCCTCCTCCCTCCTCTTCCTTTTTCTGTCCCTTTCTTCTCCATCTCTAAGAGGCCTAATTGCGCACTTTTAGGGATTTAAGTGGACTCTATACTTTTTTTTAATTCATAGTTGGACACAATACCTTTATTTTATTTATTTATTTTTATGTGGTGCTGCAGATCGAACCCAGCACCTCGCATGTGCTAGGCAAGTGCTCTACTACTGAGCCACAACCCAACCCAACCCTATAATTTTTTGTAATGAACTATGTATATCAGTTTTACAGTTACTACACAAGTTGGGTATGTGGCACAAGTCTTTAGTCCAAGCTACTCGGGATTCTGGTTTAGGGGGATCTCTTGAACTTAGGGATTTAAGCCCATCTTGGGCAGTATAGTGATAATCCGTCTCAAAAACAAACAACCCCTCTAAAGTGTTGCTATGCTTCCTGTGTTCAATTATTTATTACTTTCTTAGGTCATTGCCCTACCATGTTCATTGGGCACAACAGGATTGTCTTCTGAGTAGTCTGATTCCCACATGTGAATCCATAAAGTCAAGAGGAGCACTAATTTCTGCATTTTCAAGAGATGGCCTCACCCTAGCAGTAACTCTTAATCAGACAGACCCAAAGGTCAGTAAATCTAATCTGTGTTGGAAGATACTCTATGAAAGAATTTACTCCAGCTTTGAGACTTATTTTCCTTCATGACAGTTTTTTTTTCCTATTACTTAATGTTCTTTAAATTGGTGTTATCCCTCCCTCTGCTCCCCCAGAATTGAATACAGTGCCACACATGTGCTAAGGAAGCACACTTCCACTGAGTTACACCCCAAGTCCTAAATTGATGTTTTCTAATGCAGCTTTCCATGTGAATTGGTACGGTTATTTAAGTTAGCTGCCATAATTTTCAGAAGTTTTTCTTTAGAAGTGAAAAGAGGGTTAGGGAAAAGGAAGAAAGAAGAGTAGAACAGTAAGGAATTGTAGGGGGTCAGTACTGACTTATCAATTGGAAAGACTTCCTATATGGTTTATAATAATGAAAGATCTTTGTCTCCAGAGTTGTAAATAATGATTACAGTAAAATAATTATAATGTTTTTGTGGTATTGTTTTCCTTCTAGGCAACTCAGGTATTATTTATAAACACAGTGAATTTTGTTACTCTCTGTGGTAGCCTTAAAGGATGTAGTAATAAGAATCCTGTGGTTCCAGCTACACTTGTCAGGTACAGATTCTGATTATTTTTCTCAGTAGTACTTTCATTTTTTTTTCCAACAGCTTAAGAAGTTGAACACTAATAATTCCATAGGTATCATTTAGATAGGGGCTACAACTTCTTTAAGCATTTGTGCTTGATAAATTCTTAAAGTTGCTTTATATAAGGAAAGCCTTAATAATTTTTCAGAAGGATCTGGTGGGAGTAGGAGATTCATGAATGTATCTTTTCTTTTTCATTGTTTTCTATGTCGTCCTAGAAGGAATGGGATCATACATAGGTAGAGAAGTATTGGGTGTAATTGGAGGGGCTGAAATGAAGAAGCCTGGGCTGAGTAGATCATTATTCTCTGAGGCATGCTAACGTATTTATTACCTCCTGAACGGTTGCATCCTGTGTTGCCGCAACATTGTTGGCTACTTTGGATGTCACATGAGCTACCAATAGGACATATGCAGGATTATAGAGTATGAAGATTTTCTCCTAGAGCTCCTGACTTTCTTTTCTTAACACTTTTCTGTGCTATTTATGAATTTTCTGGTCACCCTATCCTCCTTCTTCATTTTCTTTCCTTCTCCAACAGTTCCTTCCCAGAAATATCACTAATCTCAGGTCAGTGGTCGGTTTGAGTTAGTTGTCCATCATTTTCATGAGGTAGAGCTGCTTTTTGTTCTTGTGAAACATTTACATTATCAGGTAGTTAAAAGAGTGGTGATGGTGACACCTTTGGGAGGAGACAGGTTCTGCTGTTGAGCATTCTAGCAAGCTGCAGGACAGGCATAGCCTTGAAATCTGTCCATAGATCTTGGTTGTAGACTCCATTAGAAAATTCATTATAATTAAAATGTGACTAAACATCTCACTCCAGGGAGTATTTCCATTTTTAAATTGCTTATGAATCTTAATAAATTTCTAGTTAGGATAGTGTTGCAGTAGATGTCTATGAGCAAGCTCTTTTTTCTAGGAAGTAAAATTCATGAAGTAGCTGTGACAGTTGCTTTCTATCAATTTCTTAACCCTCGTGTTTTGAAATATCTCACTCCTATATGATACAGCCCATTATAAACTGTTGAATACATTGTAGAAAGTCCTATCTAAACATGATGTGCCATGCTCTTTCTAGGTCCTATTGGGTAGGTGATGTCAGCTGGACGCATGATAGTCTTTTCCTGGCTTGTGTGTTAAAACGTGGTTCCCTGCTGTTATTGACCTGCCAAGGTGAATTGCTAACATTAATTACATTTGGTTGCTCTATTGAATTTGGGCCAGCAGAATTTATTCCTCTTCATCCACTAATAACATATAGGTGAGACATTTGAGTTGTTTTATTTTCAGAAGTTTTTCTCTTTTGGTATTACTTTTACTGTGTATTTTCAAAAATAATTTCATCTTCAATTTGTCTTTTTCTTTCTTTGAGTTTGTCATCTCAATATCTGTTTCTTATTTATAGTTTTCTTCTATTTCTTTTTGTGGCTTAATCGTGGTGAAAATTTGACATTGTGACTATGTGAGTATTTATTTAAATATGCAATAGCACTAAAGTCTGTTTTTTATATAAAAGATAATAAAAGTCTGATATGACTTTTATTGTTGTGAAAGAATAGCACATAGATAAGTTAATAACTCAAAATTAACTATACATGGATTGCACTTCTACCCAAAGGGTAGAAATTGTTGGTAATGGATAAAAGACTTTAGAATTTAGCCATGTTTTTAAATTTTAATTGTGAGATGAGGTAGCAGTTTGGCTTTGGAGCCAGATAGATCAAGATTCAGATGTTGGTTTTCTACTTCATTGTATTGTTCAGTTGTTCTTTAAATCTCATTTTTTTCCCTTGTGAAATGAAGATGAGGAAGTGCAGTAAGATGATATAGTTACATAATTATAAATCAATAAGTGAGGTTCTCATTTAAAGTATATAGGTATTCATTATTTTGAAATTAGAAAAGTGTATAAAATGATACACTCCTATAATTCTATTCCTTGAGGAACAATTAACATTTTAGTATGTTGTCATCCAAATTTAAAAAAAAATATATGTAGCATTTATAATAATAACAATGTTAATTTCTTTTTAAACACAAGATAAACTATATGATATATGCTCTTTACTACTTTGCTGTTTGATAGCATCTCTTACATATTTTTCCATTTTAGATATTATTTCTAATGGTTCTGTAGATTTCTGTGGTGTGTGCATACTACAGTTAACCAGTACCCTATTGTTGGCCATTTGGCTAATAAAAAAGCTGGTTAAGAAATCTGATTAATTTTCTAACAAGACAAAAAGTACCATAAATTTATCTCCCTTTATATATATATATATATATATATATATATATATTAGAAATAAATTGTATTTTGTTAAAAACAAAACAGTAAATGGCACAATTCCAGGGAAAAAATTAAAAACTTTTAATAGTGTTTAATCACTATGTTATATTTTCTTCACAGATGTGTATACATTTAATACTTTAATGTGTTTTTCATCTACTTGCTTTCTTATCATTATGTAACTTTTGTTATTTTGCTTTTTCTTTGGAATAATATAGTTGTTTTAAAAGATCTTCTCTTACTGATTCTTGAATTCTAATGTTTGTTTGCTAGACCACAGCACTTTACATTTCAAGATTCAAATAATTCTGTAGATTCATCAGCTTCTGATAGTGACCCTATGAGACAGAGGTTTTCTATAAAAGCACATTCACGGTTACCCTACTTCATTATTTCTGATGGATACATGATCACAACTCTTCGATTTCTTGATAACCTGTCTCCTTCAGTGCTCATGAGATCACTTCTACTTGATTCAACCCAGAGGCTTGAGAAAACATACCAAAATGTGATGTTGTCTAAGGTATAGTGCTTTTTGGTATCATTGGTAATGTTGCCTTCTTTTCGAAGTCGAAACTATACTAACAGTAATGTTCTTTGTGTACAGTCAACCAGAGAATTTTTAATTGCTTATAATAGAATAAATATAAATTTTGTTCTTGGAAATCTTTTCTCTTTTCATCTATAGCCAAAAGGCAAAGGACTGAACTTGCAATCACTGGATTCCCTAAGGTCTAGCCTGTTAAAACAGCAAGGAAATGAAAGTTCAGCTGATTCTACTGTCCCCAAGTTTTTGCAAACAGAAGAAACAATAAAGTTAAATGAAAAAAAAGATTTTCAGGTACTTTGAACAATTACATCCTGACCATATTCCAGGAAACACATTTTGTTTTTCATTTGTTACAGGGAAGAGAAATTTGAGAATATCACAGTGATTCTACTTATGAAGGTTTAAATGGTATTAAGTGTAATCTTTTCCTTTATGTTTAGGACTTTGAAGCAGAAGAAACTAATGAAGGCAAATACTTTCCAAACACCTTATTTCCTTTATGCAGCCAAAAAAGTGATCCTCTGTTTATCAGTGCCAAGGAGGGAAGATTGGAATTTGCATCTATGTTTGATACAATACATGCAAAGGATGATATTAAGGAGACAGACAAAACCATTACAGAACTGCATTCTATTCAGAAAAATCTTCTTGCAGCATGGACTGTAGGAATTTCAAAAAATGTGATAGAAAAAAGTTTAATGTTAAATTATACAGTAGTTTGTATCACTCATTTTTTCTACATTCTTCAGTTTGTAAAGTGTCCTTTCCCAAAACTTAGTATTTTTTTAAGCAAGATCCCAAAACATAATTCATGGGTACTTTGTATCTTCCAACTTTTTCATCAGTGTTTATCCACCCAGTATTGGGATATGAGATATAGGCAAGACGTGAGACATTTGATAAAACTGACCTCAAATACTATAAAGCTTTTGCTGACTCAGCAACAAAAGGGTCACTTACTCTCAGAGAACCTTTTTGCCTGCTTTTATTTACTCAGAATGGTAGCTGACAATTTAAATGGCATATATCAACTTCAACCTGAAGTTATTTCAGCATCAGCTGATGGAAGTAGAACAACAGATCAAGACTCATTGGTGGTATCTATTTTTCAAATGTTTCAAGACAGTAGTTCTCAGGAAAACTGGTCTTGGAAGTCATCTTTCAAGATTCATCCTCAAGTAACAAATCTTGTTCAACAGCCGAGTCACAGGTATAATTATCTACTTTATTATTAAAATACCATTAGATTTTCCAAACTGTAAAATTTATTATTTTAAAGTATACTGCTCAGTGGTTTTTCATATAAGATTGTGAAACTATTAGTATTAATTCCAAAATATTTTTAGGGCTTAGGATATAGCTCAGTTGGTAGAGTGCTTGCCTCACATGCACAAGGCCCTGGGTTCAATCCCAGCACCACACACACACACAAAATTTATTATGTACATAAAAACATCTTGTTATACCTGATAAATATAAATATATATAATTTTATTTGCCTATCAAAAAATATTTTAGGATTTATGCCAAATGTCATATAGCACACTCCTTTTTTTTTTTGGACTTAGTTAAGTTCTATTAAAAAAGTGACCAAAGACACATAAAACTTTGTGAAGATTTTTTTTCATATGTATTATGCATTTTTAGTCATAATGTATTTAAGTCAGATCAACATATGTTATTATAGCAGAGAAGAATACAGGTAGAAAAATAAGATATGAGGGAGCTAAACTCATTACTAGTTTGAAACTTGGTTTTGATGATTACCTAATTTTATGTGCAGATTGATTGCCCTCTGGAGAATATTGTACAAAAAAACTTTATGGTATCAAGCACAGTTAAGTCGAAGAATTCCTGAAGGTGACAGACAGTTAATTGAAAATATAGCAAATGAAGCATCTACTGTCAAATCCTTGTTATGTCATATACAGGCTAATTTACAGACTGCTGGAGATCACTTGAACCAGGCCTTAGAACTTACATCAATCCATGGTCAGTGTCTTTTAAAGAATATCTAGCTCTGTAAATAAGTGAAATAATTAACTGGGCTTTGGTTTTTTAATTGGCTGCAATTTATTTGTTGTTCAAAATATTTTCTGGCTGAGATGTATTTATTGAATTTTTGAACAATAAATTTTTATAAATTAATGTAATTAACTATGACTAATCATTGGTTAAAAACTTCTTAGGTGAAGAATGTTTTCTGTTAGGATCATATGAAAAGTCTATTCAACTGTGGAAGAAAGCTCTAGAAGAAACCCAAGAGACAGGTAGGGGGGTATTAAAAAATGATACATGCCATAATATTGGTGAGAATATGTATTAATTTGCTGCAGAGCTCTGAAATAATTCCATCATTCAAAGTGCTCACAGTATCCTAATGCCCAGGTAGAACATCTGTTTTGTCAACTTGACTATCAGAAATATTTATTTAAAATTATTTTTAGTCTTGAAATTTGTGCCACTAGGAATCTTTTCAGTGACCTCCGGGAAGTCTCTTGTCCTGTTTTTGGTTGTTGCTAGAGCTGAAACCTGTGGTTGATTGTTAATGGAGACCGATGAGATTTAGATCCTGAATAAAATAATGTTTATTTTTTGTTGTTGTGTAGAGGTAGTACACATATCCAGATGGGAAACTGTAGACCAAATATTTTACCACCTTCTTGGAGAAACCTGGAACTGAGCCTCCTTGTCCTTAACTGATATAAGAATGTCCTGTTGGTTAAATATATTTTTAGATTAAATATGATTTACATGGAGTTTTTGATAAACATATAGCAACTCTAGAAACTGGTAACATCTTTTATGATATGGGGCTCAGGGTGTGGCTGAGATAGCAGAAGTTCTCAGCTGGTAAGCCTGGAGCTAGCCCTGATTGCAACTAGTACATGGTCAGATTGGGCCGATTATTACCTTTTTTTTGGGGGGGAACTGGGGATTGAACCCTGGGCACTTAACCATTGAGCCACACCCCCTGCCATTATTATTATTATTTTTTGAAACAGGATCTTATTAAGTTGCTTAGGACCTTGCTAAATTGCTTAGGTTGGCCATGAACTTGCAATCCTCCTGCCTCAGCTTCCCCCAGTCGCTGGGATTATAGGTGTATACCACCAATACCAGCTGGGCCAATTATTACATTTATTTTCTGGCTCTTGTGGCTTTGTATGCCTCATTTATTCATCCATCACTTAATTAGTATGTATTTGTGCCTGCTGTCTGCCTAGTACTATACAAGGGACTAGGGATAACTGAAATAAAAACCAAATTTGCTCTCAAATTGCCCACATTTAACTTCTCTCTTTATGTTGTGTGGTAGGTCCCAGGAGCACAGAAGACCATTTCACACCATCTGGGTTTGGGGCATAAACAGTCTGGAGAAAAACTGGGGGGATTGATATTTAAAATTGAATATAAATTGGCCAGTTAAGGCAGTGGAGATGGTTTAACAGAGGAAATAGCAGTCTAAAAAAAAAAAAAAAAAAGACCTTAGGAACCAAGACAGTTTGACAAACCACAAGTAGTTTAGTAGGACTAGATTATATGACACATAGGTGATGTTGGTGATAACACGGTGAGAGGTAGATGGAGAACTGATGGTGGAGAAAGGTCTTTCATGGAGTCGGAATGGTTAAGGCTTTTTTGTGTGTTGTGTGTGTACGAAAGGGACCTGTTCAAATGAATGGATAAGTTCTACTAAAACAAAATTTTTCAACTTTACAATGAGCTTAAAGTAATATACCTTCAGTAGAAACCTTACTTCAGATTTTGCATTTTGATATTTTCTGGGCTGGCAGTACATGATATATAAGATACACTCTTCCTTATGCTGGGCAGTGGCAGTGAGTCACAGCTCTCAGTCAGCTATGTGATCACAGGGGTAAACAACTGATGCTCTGTGGTGTACTGTGTTGCTAAGCTGTGGTGTTCCATGGGTTGAATGTATAAGTGCATTATTTTATTTATTTATTTATTTGTGGTACTCAGGGTTGAACCCAGGTCCTTATGCATGCTGGATAAATGCCCTACCACTGAGCCACACCAACCCTTGTAAGTGCATTTTTGACTCAGAATATTTCTGAGGATAGTTTTATGGGAAGTTAAATGTGGGCAATTTGAAGGAAAATCATGATGTGACCTTATGGTAAATCAAAGGATATGTGTATAAGCCGTTTAGAAAAGCCACTTTGATAGCTTGTGAAGGGTCAGTTGTAGGACTGTGGTGTAACATTGTAGGTTTTACCTAGAAGCAGGGAAATTAGTGAGATGAACCAAAACAATGTCAAAGGTAATGAAATGGAAGTCACAGTTGACAAATATTTAATAAGTTTGATCAGCTGGACTTGTGATTTAGTACATTTGAAAAAATTTCATTTAGTTCTCAGAATTAGGAATTATCCGATTGAATGAAGGAGGGTAGCATTCAGAGAGATGGGCAGTTCTGGATGAAAAAAAGTTTTCATTATGAGTTCTTTCGTTTTAAATTTTTTATTTGTTTTAATTGGTTATATACATGACAGTACAATGACCTTGACATATCATACATTATGAGTTCTATTGTGAATATTTTATTTATAACTTTTAACCACTAGGAATGGCTACTAGTAATACAGAAAGTGGCAGAGGCTTCATAAGAAAATTCTTTTTCTTTTCTTTTCTTTTTTTTTTTTTTGAAACAGTTTCATTATGTTAGCCTTGAACTTCCAGGCTCAAGTGATACTTCTGCCTCAGTCTCCTCAGTAATTGGGACTAAAGTGGGTGTCACCATGCCTGGCTACTTTCTTATGAAAGTAAGCCAGAATTTGGCAGATGGGGCTAATTTGCTGTTCCCAGGGTATCATTAAGAACCCAGGCTCGCTGGGCTCTATGGCATACATCTGTAATTCAGCAGCTCAGGAGGCTGAGGCAGGAGGATCACAAGTTCAAAAAAAAGCCTCAGCAACTTAGCGAGACCCTGTCTCTAAATAAAATATAAAAAAGGGTTGGGGATATGGCTTAGTGGTTAAGTACCCCAGGTTCAATCTTTGGTAAAGAAGAAAAGAACACAGGTTCCTTTTCGGGCATTTTGGCACACACCTGTAATCCAAGTGGCTCAGGAGGTTGAGGCAGGAGGATCACAAGTTTGAGGCTAGCCTCAGCAATTTAGCAAGGCCCTAATCAACTTAGTGAGACTCTATCTCAAAAATAAAAAATAAAAAGGCTTAGGGATGTAACTCAGTGGTAAAGCACCACTGGGTCTAATTCCCAGTAACCCTTCCTCCCCAAAACAAACAAACAAAAAGAACCCAGACTCCTTTGGTTTTTCTGTTCTATTATCCTTGGTGCATTATTTCCAATTTTAAGACCATTACATGGAATAAATGGCTGTTGGAGTTCTAGCCATCACATCCATGTTCTAGGTTATTCTTATTGTTTCTTCTCCTTTACGAAGTCTCTTTGACTATCTCTTGGCTATATGAATGGCTCTTTGTGGGTATTGTGACATGTTTCCTTCTATTCCATACTCTGGGTACCTGATGTAGAAGTCATTTGTGGATCTGAGTTCTGAGATGATGAGAATTTGCATCTCTCTTTGGAAAAAATCTTAGTCATTCTAGGGCTTAATGAAAGAAAGTAAAACTGAAAAAAGACAAAGTATTGCTTACCTGTTATTAAAAAAATCTTTTATTAAAGTTTAAAACTGAAGTATTGAAGTATGAAACTGAAAAGTTATTTTTCTGAAACTATGCACACATGTTATCCCAGCTACTCAGAAGTCTGAGGTAGGAGTTATCACAAATTTGAAGCCAGCCTCAGCAATTTAGCAATGCCCTGTTTCAAAAAATAAAAAGGACAGGAAATGTAGCTCAGTGGTAGAGCTCCCCTGGATTTAATCCCCAGTACCACAAAAACAAACAACAAAACCCAGAAAGACCAAAAACCAGATACTGAAGGTATATACATTACAAGTGTGCAGCTTGATGAATTTTCACAAGTTGTATCCTTCTGTTTGCCTAGCACTAGATAAAGAGCATTCTCTTGTTAACTTGCTTTTAAGGTAAGCTTAATTCTTTCCTGTTTCAGGAGGAAGAAGGACCTGTTTTTTTCAGATACGCTATTATCTCTCTCTATTATACTGCTACCTTTATAGCTATAATTTAAATGATGCTCAAGGATTATGTGATCAGCTAGTAAGAGAAATACTGAGATGGTCGCAACTACTTGTTAAAGAAAATGAAGATTGTTCAGGTATGCTTTTAAAAACTCAATATATTTAATCTTGTTAATTCATATTTAGGGGATTCTATAAGACATTGCTTATACATAAATGTCAGCTCTCCTGCCTCAACATTGAATAAGTTATGTTACATTTTGGACTGTCAGTTTCTCAGTAACAAGGATCATACTGAGTTTTTTTGTTTTGTTCATTTTTAATTGTAAGATCTCCACATTATAGCAATAATTGCCTGCTGAACTGATATAAATATTCTCTCAGACCCCATTTATTAGATACAATATCAGGTATCCAGTATTTTTCCTTAATATGTTTCTATTTTCTTTAAATGTTGCTGAAAGTGGTTTAGAATGTCATGTAATCACTTTCTGAGGCATTCTGAGTATTCTTTAATTTGTGTAAGAGACTGTAGAGTATCTGGATTGTGTGTTTTCAAAGCCATTATTTAAATTAAACAGAAAGCAGAGGGGAAAATATATATGAATGAACACTTAATATATTTATAATGATTAAAGGGTAATCAGCTGTTAGCTATATACCACACACGCATGAATGTGCCTGAAAGGCCCAAAGTAGCAGAACTTTCTAAATAGATCAGGTCTTCCTAAGTAGAGTTCATATTATTTTTAATATGGAAACCTTATATTTTTATGTATATACTTATTATTATTGTTGTTATTATTATTTGCAGTGCTGTAGATCAAACATATGACCTTACACATGATAGGCAAGTGCTCCATTATTGAGCTATACCAACAGCCCCATATCTTTTTAATTTTAGTGTTTAGGGTTGGGGTTGTGGCTCAATGGTAGAGTGCTCGCCTAGCATGTGTGAGGCTCTGGGTTTGATCCTCAGCACCACATAAAGATAAATAAATAAAGGTATTATGTCCATCTATAACTAAAAAATATTTTAAAAAATTTGTGTTTATTATGACATTCATTTTAGACAATTTTGAAAATATGAAAAAATATAAAGAAAATTACAGTGTATTACCTTTTTGTTTAGGGCCTTTCAGTGTGTGTGTGTGTGTGTGTGTGTGTGTGTATTTTCCCATTATTGTACATTTTAAGCTTTTGCCACACATTTACTGTTTTAAAGAATGCTTTAGTGTACGTAAATCTTTGTGAATACCGTAATTTCTTTAGGAATCGGGTAGTCACAATTGAAGATTTTCTGTTTCTGTTGTCAAGTTGCCTTCTAGAAAGGTTGACTGGCTGTGTATGAATGAGACTTTTGTGTATGATTTTTTTTTTTCTGATATTGGGAATAGAACCCAGTAGTACTTTATCTCTGAGCTACATCTCCAGTCATTTTAAATTATTTTTTAATGAATATTTTATTTTATTTATTTATATGTGGTGCTGAGGATCTAACCCAGGCCTCACACATGCCAGGCAAGTGCTCTACCACTGAGCCAAAACTCCAGCCCTCCTTTTTAATTTTTTAAAAAAAATTCTGATACAGGGTCTCACAGAGTTGCTTAGGGCCTCACTAAGTTGCTGAGGCTGGCCTTGAACTTGTGATCCTCCTTCCTCACTTTTTTTTTTTAAATATGTTTTTTAGTTGTAGATGGACACACGGTATCTTTGTTTATTTATTTGTTTTTTATGTGGTGCTGAGGCTGGAACCCAGAGCCTCACAGATGCTAGGCAAGCACTCTACCACTGAGCTACAGCCCCAGCCCCTCCTTCCTCATCCTTTGAGTTGCTGGGATTATAGGCATGTACCATTGCACCCAGCTTTTTAAATGATTGGATGAAATTCATTTTCTTCATCAGTTGTCTTTACATGATTTAGCTTCAGTAGTTCATTTGTTTTATTATTATTATTATTTTCTTTGGTACCAGGGATTAAACTCAGGGCATTCAACCACTGAGCCACATTCCCAGCCTTTTTTTGTATATTACTGAGTTGCTTAGTGCCTCGCCATTGCTGATGCTGGCTTTCAATTTATGATCCTCCTGTCTCAGCCTCCTGAGCCGCTGGGATTACATGTGTGCACCATCCAGCCCAGCTGTTTCATTTTTTAATGATGCTTCTTTAAAATATAGTAAGCAGGGCTGGGGTTGTGGTTCAGTGGTAGAGTGCTCACCTAGCATGTGTGAGGCCCTGGGTTCGATCCTCAGCACCACATAAAAATAAATAAGTAAAATAAAGGTATTGTGTCTAACTACAACTAAAAAATAAATTAAAAAATTAAAAAAAAACAAATAAAATAAAATATAGTAAGCATATACTTCCTGGGTTGGGGGTCTTTACGACTGCTCCCAGATTTGATGATTCATTGGAGGACGCACAGCACTTAGTAGACAGTCATGCTCATAGCTATGATTTATACAGTGAAAGGATTCAGGGCCAAATCAGAAAGGGAAATGACATCTAGAGTGAGACCTGGAGAAAACCTGACATTTGCTTCCAAGATTCCTTCTGGTGGAGTGACACAAGATGTGTCTGATTCCTTCAGTGAGAAGTGTGACAACACATGTGAGATGTTATCTACAAGGGCTCATTAGAGATTCTGCTCAGGGTTTCAACAAGGGCTGGTCACATAGCTCCTGTCTTATGTGGCACACACCAGTATTCAGTACTCTCAGAGGGAAAACAGGTATTCAACAAAACCACCTTGTTTTTACAGTGTATGCCCAGTCAGCTACTCTTAGCATACTGAAAATCCTTCCAAAATCTAAGCTTCCAGGTGCCACCCAAGGGTGTTTCAGGCTGTGAGGCCTGTTACATTAACTCTTTTTCACACCTGCCTTATTAAATCATTGTGTATTATTTAATTTCTATTGCCTAAGGCTGCCATTATTAACATAATTCTGCTAGATTCAGAATTACCTTTTCTTTCTCTTTTGGTGCCAGGTATTGAAACTCCCTGTGCTTTATCGAGTATGTATTGTACCACTAAGTTACCTCCAACTAGGCTCCAGAAGTTTGATGTAACTCCCCTCTATCACCACCATCTCCCCTCCATTCTTTTTCCTCTACTTTCTTTTTGCTACAAAAAGAATCTTATCCTAGTAAGCCTTTATACTTGTATATAGGCATTATGTATGACTAATGGGAGTGTATCTCCCAGACCCAATGTTATAGAAAAAAAGCAGTGAGCCCCTAACTTGGTGCTTTTTAATCTTCATAGCGAACCCTACTCATGTCATTAAAAAACAAAAACCAAACAAACAAAAGACACAAAAGGAAAGAGAGGAAAAAGGAAAAGTAAATAATGAGGTGCTAAATTTATAAGTCCATCTTAGCTAGATTATTTTATAGAAATTTCTCCATTTTAAAAATAAAATGATGAGGGCTGGGGATGTGGCTCAAGCGGTAGAGCGGTTGCCTGGCATGCATGCGGCCCAGGTTCGATCCTCAGCACCACATAGAAACAAAGATGTTGTGTCCGCAAAAATAAATAAATATTAATATTCTCTCTCTCGTGCTCTCTCTCTCTCTCTTAAAAAAAAAAAATAAAAATAAAATGATGAAAGTTGTGTATAGTTTGTAAGTATATTTGCTTATCATCATGAATAATTATTTTGTTCTTATTCAAAAGTGTGGACACCTATTATAATTTACCTTGTATAGGCCATGGGTGCTCATTTCAGAAAAATTTTAATTATACTTTTTTTCTTTTAAAATAAACTTAAATATTACTACTTTTTGGCATTTTCTGTATTCCTTAGACCCTAACCAGTCTGGCTGTGAGTCTGTGGTGTCTGGACGCGTCTATCCTGAGGCTGCACTAAGAGTCATCCAGGCCATGGCTCGTTTCATGGCTGCCTACTTCACCAATCAGCTGCTTTGTATTTTTCCTCCTCACAGTGTGAATGTTCTTCCTCCACTTCATATTAAAACAGGTACTATGGTAAAATGTAATTTTCTCACTTTTCATTTTACATATAATTCTTAAACTACATTATACAAAGATAAATAAATAAATAGTTAAATAAATAAATGAATAAATAGATAAATAAATTCATTATTTTATGGAAATGGCACTATTCTAGCATAGCACCTGGCACATAGGAGGTGCCCAAGTACTACCTGTGAATAAATTATACTTGAGAAAAGTAATTGCTTGGTTTTATTTTTAATGAATATGTACTGTTTTTCACAAAATTTGGGCATTTGTTTCTACTTGTAATGTGAAAGAGCTGCTATCTTTATGTGAAAATGTGGAAATTTAACAAATTTTGCATCTACTAATTTAGAATTTAATTTTATTTGGACTGTTTACTTTTCTCTATTATTTTATATTCATGTATTAATTGATCAATTGCAGTACTAGGGGTGAACCCAGGGTTGCTCTGACACTGAGCTATACCCCCAGCTTTTTAAAATTTTTTATTTTGAGACAAGGTCTCACTAAGTTGCCATGCTGGCCTTGAACTTGTGATCTTCCTGCCTCAGCCTCCCAAATAGCTGGGATTACAAGTGTGCACTCACAACACTCAGCTAAAAATTTTATTTTATTTTTAAAAATTTGTATTATTAACTGGGTATGATGGTGCATGCCTATAATCCCAGCAACTCAGGAGGCTGAGGCAGGAGGATCAAATGTTTAAGGCCAGCCTGAGCAACTTAATGAGACCCTGTCTCAAAAAAATAAAAAGGACTGGGATGTACCTTAATGGTAAATCACCCATGGGTTCAATTCCCAGTATTAAAAGTAGGGGGGGGGTTGCTTTATTACTTATTTATTTATTATTTAGTGCTGGGAATTGATCCCAGGGCCTCAAACATGTTAGTCAAGTGCTTGAACACTACATCCCCTTCCCAACTTTTGTCTATTTAGTTATTTCATTAATGGGGTCTAAATGAACCTAATCCTCTGCTAGATAACTGCCCTGCCCTCTTGGAGATAAATATATAAATGAACTTCTGTGACATTCATTCATTATACTGATTTTAAAAAGTTTATTTTTAAATAATACTATAATTGATATCATAATTTTATACATTTATGGGTTACAGTGTTGTATTTTCATATATGTGTATGTATAATTATGTCAAGCTGAGTTAACATCCCTCAACTCATCTGTCATTGGTGAAACATTTGATATTTATTCTCTTAGTTATTTTGAAATATAAATGCATTGTTATTGATGGTACTCATCTTGCTGTGTAATCCATCTCAAAACCTATTCTTACTTATCTGAAACTTTGCACCCATTGATCAGTAATTCTTCATTCCTTCCCCCATCACCACCTCCAACCTCTGGTGACCATAATTTTCTCTACTTCTGTGTATTCAGCTTTATTAAATTCCTCATATAAGTGAGATAGTGTAGTATTTGTCTACTAAGTTTTTTATTTTAAATATTTTGTTTTAGTTGTAGTTGGACATAGTACCTTTATTTTATTTTTATGTGGTGCTCAGGATCCAGCCTAGTGCCCCACACTTGCTAGGCAAGTGCTCTACCACTGAGCCACAACCTCAGCCCCTGTCTACTAAGTTTTAAGTGCTGACTGTATCAGGTAGTTGACTGGGAGTTTCAAGTACAGTCATGTCGTGTAAGGTTGGGGATGCATTCTCAGAAATGCATTGTTAGATGGTTTCAACAAGTGACTACCATAAAGTATCTGCACAAACTAGGATGACTTGGACATCACTAGGTCATGTAATAACCTTATGGGACCATCATACATGTGGCCTATCATTGACCAAATGTCATTATGCAGTTCCTGACAGTATGTTAGCTTGTATTACATGAAATTGATAAATGAAAACATTTGTAGAATTTTTTTGTTAAATAAAACAGATTTGTTCTAACAGCTGTGAACAAAACAGATATTATAACCTGTTCTCTTATGGAATTTACATACAATAGTTTGAGACAAAATATTAAATAAATGAACATTAAATAAGACTTATCAAGTATTGACTATTGTTTTGGAGAGAATTAGAATAGAATAATGCACTGTGACTATTTCAGATTAGGAATTTAGGGGCTGTGGTAGAGCACATGATTAACATGCAAGAGGCCCTTCAATCCCCAGAATCAAAAAACCCCAAACTGTATTCAGACTGGAATTTTTTTTTTTAATATTTATTTTTTAGTTGTAGTTGGACACAATACCTTTATTTTATTTATTTATTTTTATGTGGTGCTGAGGATTGAACCCAGGGTCTCGCATTTGTGAGGTGAGCACTCTGCCACTGAGCCACAACCCCAGCCCCCAGACTGGAAATTTAGGTTGGATCTCTCCAAGTAGGTGAAATTAAAGCTGAATTCATTTTTTTAAAATATTTTTTTAGTTGTCAATAGACCTTTGTGTTATTATTTATTTATATGTGGTGCTGAGAATTGAACCCAGTGCCCCACACATGCTAGGCAAGCACTCTACCACTGAGCACAACCCCAATCCAGAGCTGAATTCTTAGTAACTAGAAAGTGCCAACCTTGGACACCTGAGGTCTGAGTGTTCCAGTCTGAGCTTGTGTAAAAGCCCTGAGTTAAAAATAGCTGGATGTGTTTGAGACATTGAGACTGATGTGGCTGTAGACTAAAAGCCGAGGGAGAAAGTGACAGGAGATGTAGTCAGAAAAGGGTTCGGATGGTATGGCAAGGAATCTGAATTTTAAGTTATATTGGGCTTGAAACAGGAGATGGCATGAGTGGAAAAGTATGTGTAAGGCATACATGGTACTAGGTAGAGTGTAATTAGAAGTTTAATGCAATATAGAATTAGTAGCTAATCACCAAACCATGGATTTTGGACCCTATATTTAGACTCTGATCTGTGATTGTTTTGGGATGTGGACGGGAATGAAGGACCATCCTCACCCAGCTGGACTTCTTCTACTGCAGTGTGCTAGTGCCACCTGGGGTTCTATGGGAAGTTCTGGGTCCCTGGGAAATGAGGTGTGTGAGATAGGATCAATAAGGAAATTTTCCAGTGGTTCCTTTCTAGTAGACTCCTACTTCCTTGAGAAAGAAGAGAAGTAGCCCTCACTTGAGATGGCTTCTTTTACGGTGCTGGTAGGAGCAGAGACGGGGGACACACTCCTGTGTCACACTCCTGTCCTTTGACCATATCTTCTTGGTTAGACCTCCAGTGCCTGCTCCTGACTACAGCCTGCACTTCTTTTTTTCTCTGACCTTTATGCCTCCCTCCAAGACACCCAGATTATAGAATTTATTTCCTCAAATGCTTGACATTTGTTATTATTATAGTGGTTTTATATTCTTTTTTGTCATAACTTAGGAATATATCACTTTATTGTATTCTCTGCTTTTGATAGTAATGTTTGTGACAATTTATGTCCTTAATCCATATTATTTTACTAACAAAGGTAGTATTCCAAGTGGTTTTCTGAAAAACCTAAAAGAATAAAAGATAAAATCCTGGTCTTGAGAAACTCTATCTCAATTGCTTATCTTTCTTGTATAAATCTGTAAGATTTTTGCTGTTTGCTTATGGTTCTCATCTTTACGGATTGCTTGATATAACTAAGTAAGGCTGATCTTTATCCCAGTTTAGGAAAAAAGGTGATAGAATCATTGAACTGTTTCCAGATACATTCATAAACACTCATAAAAGCACAGAGACACACCTTTGTATTCCCCACATAAATGTCTTCCTGGTAAGAAGTGAGAATGGAAGAAGGTTTTTGCAGTCTCTTTCCATGCTTGAGATTATGATTATTGAAAATTTAAATACCTGAAATTTTGTATCTATGCTTTAGTTCCTTTAGTTTCCCAATATATTGGATGGTAAAGTAAGCAGTCTTAGCATCTGTTTGATGTTACTTTTTCTAGTCAGAGCTAATGACAGAATGTACTGGGGACTTCAGTAGCTTATTTTATGTAATACTGTAAAAAGTGGCAAACTTTTTTAAATATATGAAAGTAGTATAATTTTCAGAATATTAAACAATTCAAATTATTTTAATGGCATACTGCCTTGCTTATAGTGAATAAAAAATTTAAAAAAATTTGCCTCAACTCTTTTGTGTACACAGAATCAGATACCCTAGAGACTGAATTTTTTTTTTTTTTAATCCAGATGTTTTTCAAAGAGCCTAATGTTAGTGCCTAATGTAGGGTTGGCCAATATAGTCCACATAAGAAACTAATCACTTCATTTTTCATTTCAGGGGTCAGAAACCCATGTATGCCATTGACCAATTTTATTTTGAGTGAAGGAGTGAAAATTTTTTCAACATAGTTTTTTTTTTTCCTTCTTTTCAGCACTGGGAATTGAATACAGGGCCTTGTGTGTGCTAGGCAAGTGTCGTATCTTTGATCTAGATCCTCAGTCCCTCTTATTTTATTTTGAGATAGGATCTCATTAGGTTGCCTAGACCTGGTCCTGAACTTGGATCTTTCTATCTCAACCTCTCAAGTAGCTGGGAATATAGGCATGCACCACAGTGTCTAGCTTCAATGTGTACTTTCTAATTATTTTTTAATTGATGTATTATAATTCTATATAACAGTGGGATACATTGTGACATATTCATATATACACATAACATACTTTCCTCATTTTATTCCCCATCAGAATATTTATTTATTTATTTGAGGCACTGGGGATTGAACTCAGGGGCACTTAACCATTGAGTCACATCTCCAGGCTTTTTTACTTTTTTGCTTAGGGCCTAAATTGCTGAGGCTGAGTTTGAACTGTGTTTCTCCCACCTCAGCCTCCCAAGCCACTGGGATTACAGGTATGTGCCACACTCAGCCAACACACACACACACACACACACACACACATATATATATATATATATATATATATATATTTTTTTTTTTTTTTCTTTTGGTACCAGGGATTGAACTCAGGGCCACCCGACCACTGAGCCACATCCCCAGCCCTATTTTGTGTTTTATTTAGAGATAGAGTCTCACTGAGTTGCTTAATGCCTCGCTTTTTGCTGAGGCTGGCTTTGAACTCACACAGTACTCCTGTCTCAGCCTCCCTAGCCACTGGGATTACAGGCATGTGCCACTGTTCCCAGCTCCAATATGATTTTTTTTTTAGTGTGTAATTTTTTAATTGTTGATGGACATAATACCTTTATTTTATTTTTGTGTGGTGCTGAGGATCGAATCCAATGCTTCATGCGTGCCAGGTGAACACTCTACCACTGAGTCCTAGCCCCAGCCCCAACATGTATTTTTTAATAACATTGTAGTCATCATATTTCAAGTTGCCTCAAGTTACTTTAGTGAAAGGTACAGAGGTCTTGTGGAAAGGATATTACCGCTTTGTGTTGAATTCCAGGCCAAACTAGAATCTTGTCATTTATTCACGGGTTGTTGAATATTACACATTTTATTCTTTTTTTTGTTTGTTTTGAAATGAGTTCTCACTATGTTACCAAAATTCCTCTCAAATTCCTGGGCCTAAGTAATTTTCCCACTATTGTCCCCTGATTAGCTGGGAATATAGGTACATGCCTATATAAAACTTCCTCTTTCATTTATTTGCTTGTATATATTTTACAGTGCTGGTGACCAAACCTAGGGCCTTGCATATGCTAGGCAAGTACTACCACTGAGCTACAATAAGCCCTCTTATTAATGAACACTAATATATTGAACACTTTGTATATTTATTATTTGAAATTGTTTTTTTTATTGCATAACACTATGGGTAATACAAAGTCAGATAAAACACCATTTCAGCCCTCCAAATTTCATAATCTGATATGAAAAATAGGCTTATATTTCTGAGCAGCCCACAGTAATAAATTGTGTACTGTGACCCGGTACATGTTCATATGTATACCTATGTACATATTATCTGACACAAATGTTTCATTAAACGGTATTTACTTTTATTTTGAGTTAATGGATTCATTCTGTATGTTTTTTTTCTGTTCTGTTTCGTTTTTTAGGAATTCTATTATTTCTTTCATGGCTCACTGTGAATGAAGCATATTCTTCAGTGTTGAAAAAAAACTGTTCTAGTGTATTTAGTATTATTGTAGCCCATTTTGTATGTATCTTCCTTTCTGTGGTCTTGTTTAGAAGATACTAATTAAAGAGATAAATATAAAATGTAGGGAGGCTTGAATTTGGATGCATGTGTGTAATTGTAATATCCATTTTCTTTAACTTATTCACAGAGCAGTCTCTTCGACTTATTCCTCTGCAACACTCCAAGGTGGCCAGTATTGTTAGAGACCAGAATCTTTCTAATGTGTGGACAGTTGAATATGCCCTTGAATTATTGTTCATTGGTGGCTTGGTTACAGAGGCTATATGGTTAGCATATAAACTTGGAGACTGGAAGACATCTGTTGCAATTGGCGTGGCCTTCCAACTCTTCTATAAACATGATAGCAATTTTGTGAGGTATGTATTTTTAGGTAAGCTTAAGTATAACAATATCATGTAAAGTAGCTTATATTTCTCTTATTGTTGGTGTTTACGTATGTGGAGTTCTTTATTCAGCATTGGCCAAAAGAGCTTTCTAATGATAGAAGTATTCTGTATGTGCTCAATGTGCATGGGGTAGCCTCTAGTTACAAGCAACTGTTAAGCATTTGAAATGTGGCTAGTGAGACCAATGAGCTTCATTTTGAGTTTAATTTCACCTATATTTACATAGCCACACGCTATGTAACATAGTGATTACTGTGCTGGATAGCTCAGTGGCTTGCTTATTTATAATAAAACATTTAACATATTTATGTGTTAGTAATGCCCTTAAAGGACATATAGTCAGTGGGAGAGTTTATCCCAAATAGGATTTGAGTTTTAAATTAATCTGATCTTTCAACTTTTCAGAATATTATGGCATTGCTGTGTCTTTTATGTGTTTTTCAATTCACTAATTCAATATATATTTCTTTTTTTTAACATTATTTTTAATTAAACTGAAAATACCATGACACCACATTTTATATGCTTAACTTTTTTTAATATTTACTTTTTAGTTTTAGGTGGACACAATATCTTTATTTTGTTTTTATGTGGTGCTGAGAATCGACCCCAGTACTTCACATTTGCTAAGCAAGCACGCTACCACTTGAGCCACATCCCCAGCCCTATATTTATTTCTTAAGAAACTGCTCTGTACAAAGCTTAACGTCAGGTATTTTAGTAGATATAAACTTAATGTACATAGTTTCAATGCTTTAAGGCATTTATACTTTAATAGAGAAAATAGGATAAAGCATTATTATAATTTACATAGTAGTTGGTGTAGTAAGAAAAGGACAGTGGTACCATGGGGACAGTGATATTATCAAGTGGAGGAAAGACAGGAAATACTATGTAGGAGATGTCATTTGAAATGGGAATCAAAGGACATATAGGATTTGGATGAATTAAGTAAACATTCAAAGAAAACATCCTAAGTATGAGCAATGGCATTTGGCAAAATTAAGTTTTGGTTCAGTTTGGATAAAGTATGTATGTAGAATAGCAGTAGGAAATAAGAGTGGGAAAATGTATTAGGATTATAATTAGGGAGGGCCTTAATACACTGTTTGTTTTTTGTATGTAGGGTGAATAGAGTGTGTGGATTCTATTGTTTCTTTCTTTTCATCTTTTTGTTGTTGTGGTTGTTTGGAGGATTGAATCTAGGGGCACTTAACCATTGATCCACATTCCTAGCCATTTTGGTATTTTATTTAGAGTCAGGGTCTCCCTGAATTGCTTAGGGCCTCACTAAATTGTTAAGTAGGATGACTTTGAACTTGCAATCCTCTTGCCTCAGCCTCCTGAGCTGCTGGGATTACAGATGTGTGCCACCGTGCCTGGCTTTCCATTATTTCTTAAATTTTTGTTTAGTTCTTGTTTGTTTTATGGTGCTGGGGATTGGGCTTAGGGCCTCACACATGCTAGGCAAGTGTCTACCGTTGAGCTTTTCTTTTATCAAAGTTTGGATTCATTTCCCTTAATTTGATGTCATTTCAGGTCCAAAAAAAAGTGTCCGAAGCTACCATTAAATATGACTCCAGCTCACATTTTTCAGAAAAAATTGCAGTGTTTTTTAGGTCAACCAACCTCTTTGGAAGGAAAACAGGAAATGGGCTCAAAATATAAACAATTCACAGGTGTGTTACATACATAAGGTCTGACATCAGGTTAATATAAATTTTGTAATATAAGAAGTTTATAAATACCTGGAGATAGATTTATATTGTACGATTCCATTTATATGATTCTACAAAAAATAAAAGTATAAGAACAGGAAACAGTGGTTGCCTAGGAGTAGTGGGGGAGGAATTAACTACAAAGCATAATGAAAGAATTTTGTAGAGTGATGGAAGTGTTTTTACAGGCCTGTGCAGATATATCAAAGTTCACTGAGAAGGATGAGTTTTACTGAATGTAAATTATGCCTCAGTCTGATTTAAAAACAAAAACTCAAGTTATTAGACCAGTTTAAGAGCCAATTAATAAAAAGATAAATCTGAGCTATTTATTTATTTTATGGATACATGATATCCATAAAATATGCATGTAATATATATATACATCTCTACATAAATATAGAGATAAAGACAAATATAAACAATATGTAGAGAGATATCAAGAATTGAAGAATAAGAAAATGAAGTTAAACTTTGTAGCATGTAGAAAAGTTGTCTGTTAGGAATTTCAGTTGTGTCTCTACCAAATTCTGGATAATGGCTACCTCTGAAAGATGGAATATGATTGATATGCAAGGAATTTCAGCTACATATGTAATATTTTAAAAAATATTTTTCATTGTCAATGAACCTTTATTTTATTTATTTATATATGGTGCTGAGAATCGAACCAAGTGCTCCACACATGCTAGGCAAATGCTCTACCACTGAGCCATAACCCCAGCCCCAATATATAATATTTTATTTTTAAAAAATCTAAATTGATGGGGCTGGGGTTGTGGCTCAGAGGTAGAGCGCTCGCCTAGCACATATGGTGCCCAAGGTTTGATCCTCAGCACCACATAAAAGTAAATAAACAAAACAGTGGTGTTGTGTCCATCTACAACTAAAATAAATATTTTTAAAAAATCTAAATTGAATATAGTGAAATGTTAATATCAGACATGGATGACAAGTGAGTATATGAGTGTTATATTCCATAGTTCATAGTGTACTTAAAGTACTTCATAATAGAAAAAAACCTTTCATCTCCAGTTCTGTCCTATGTCTCCTTTCAGTTTGCCTTCTGGGACATATCTGTGTGTATACAGATATTTTCATATTTTAAAGCCATAAAATACAACTGACTTTTGCAATTTTCTATTTTCTTCAGAAGCTTTTTTTATTAATTACATTATTATAAAAGTATTGTCATGGACCACTGAAAGAAAGATTACTCTTTCATTCCCTTCTTGACAGGATTAGCCCGACTAAGCATCTTCTGTCATAATGTTGTATATTAAGAAACATTTGTTGATTTGCTGTATTTTAATGTATATTATTTTGGTGTATTTGTTTTTTCCATTGATATTTTTTCAAATATTATTACTACCACTACAATTTTTTTTTTTTTACTAAGGACTATATTCTAACATTAAATGTGTAGTTGTTCCTAGAGTATCTCTTTTTTAGTTTTAGAAAAAGTTTCATGCTCTAATTGCTTATGATCTTAAAATAACAAGAAAGTTCATAAATTTTTGTCTGTAAGTTTGGATGTTTTGCTTATTAACCATTGTATTCTCGAGAATCTACTTTTTCAGATTTAAAAAATTTAGAAAATAGGATGAGAAGTTAAATGAGAATTTTAACTATTTTACCAAATTTTGTATTTAGTAGATCCCATTGAAGAGGAAGATGCAAATCTGCTATTTGGTTCAGTACAAGAAGTCCTGAAAGCATCAGTTATGGCTGATGTGGATATTCTTTCAGACACTTTACAGCATCTGATAGATTCTGCCAAGGACTTCAGTAAGAGACTGTGGGGCTTAGTGCCTGCCGGCTTGTATCTTCCAGCTCCTCCATTATATTGTCCCCAGCCAGCTATTCTTAGTGAAGTAAGCTTATGCATTATTCCTTTAATTAATTGAAAATTGATTTTGGTCAGTTTTAAAAATAGTCAACCTGAAGTCAAGCATTGTCATTAACCTATCTTTATTTTTTCTTTAGCATTTTAAATTTTCTTATTATCACTAAAATGGGTTGTCTTATTGTTTCCAGGAAGATGGAGATGATCTTTTTGTAAAAGCTGAAAAAGACAATCGCCAAAAGGTGTCTAGAATACTTCAGAGAGTTCTCTTGCTCTTCAGGGCAACTCGGTGTTCTTTTCCTGTAGCACAGTGGTACATTTTGCAGCTGAGGAGGGCAAGAAAAGTCATGCAGAAGGTATGGGAATGTCTTATTCATGTGCTGTGTTAAACAACTGAAATAAACTGATACTTATACTGTAATAACACTTTTCCAAGGAGTCCTGCCCTGTGAATCCATACATTTCAGGCTTATTTATGGTATGCAACATAAAAAGAGCAGATTCTTTCTGCCAAAAGCTGAGAACTTTGAACTGGGTCTCCAGGTTAGTTATATCCTGCCTAATAATACAAAATGTCCAGTCAGTTCGGTCCTGGGAATTAAATTTATTTCTTCATTGAAGATAATATAAACTCAATTCAGGACTGAGGTGTGGGAAGAATTCACTTCTCTCTGGGGAGAGGTCTCTGTTCTGTTGGGGCTTCAGTGTGTTACTGGAAAGTTGTGTGTTCTCAGCTCTTGTGTCTTAAAAAGAGATTTCAAGCAAGACACAGGTGTGGTCAAAGTTTAGCAGTTTATTAGAAGAGAAAGAGGAAGGGCGTGGGAAAAGCACCCTCAAGGGAGATTGTTGTTGCTGCTCAACGAGAGGAATGGGGCATTTTGTCCTTATTGGCATCAGATCAATACTGGTATCAGATCAATGTTGGCATCAGATTCGCCATTTTAGAACGGGAGCCATTTTATCTAGAGGCTCCAAAGTTTCCATTCTGAGAAAGTGCTGCATGTGCCTGTTAAAGGATCAGCCCCACCCCAGTTTATGACGCAACTCCTAAGCAGCTTAGGAAATTCCCCTTGTGGGCTATAAAGCTGCTCTGTGAGTGCCAACCCATAGCCTTGTGGGTTTGCCTTGTGCTACTGACAATAAATCTCTTGCGTGAGATTCTGGTGTGTGGTGTGGTCTTTGGACTTTGCGTAGTCTCTGTGAGTGTCCTTTCAGTCCTAGTTTTAGTTAGGGCTAAGGGACAGTTTCCAGAGGGTCTTTCCCAAGCACTACCTCCTAGCTCTTGATTGACAGTTGGATTGTATTAGATTTCTAAATCCCTGTTTCGTATATCTTAGTCAAGAGTGTCTAAGTGAAATCCATAGGGTGAAAATTTATAATTACAATAAGATTAAATGATATGTTGAGGACCTAAAGGCAGCTTTTGATCGTCTTTGCTTTCACCTGTTTATTTTGTCTGGAATTTGATTTCACAGACCTTGAGGCCATTTAGCTTTCCACCCTCAAAGTAGAGCAGGCCATCTTCCTCTTACCAAAGGAGGAGTCTTGAGCAAACTCCTTGGCCCTGGGATATGTTGTTACAAGGCCATTTTCTTACATCAGAGCAGGTCCAGGATGACTTTATTAAGTTGTTTCTTTAGAAACATATTGAGAGTTAGCACATAGGCTCCGTAGATTTAACACACTTAATCCCCATGTTTCCGCCTCTCATGTTTACCTGTTCCATAAGTGGGTTCAAAGCATCCAAAGTTAGAGTGATTACTTGGCTATTTGCTATCCTTTCTTCCCAGGTTCATGTCTCTTATATTCCTTTTCTTTTATCTATAACAGCCACCCTCTTTAAAAAACAAAAAACTTGATTTAGATAAACAGGGTGATTTTCCTGTACTATATTCTAGATTTGTCTAATGGTTTTTTCATTTAGCATCATTTAACTCGTTCTTGTTTCCTTTTATTTCCTGTACATGGGTGAGCGACCTATACTCATGGAGGTAGGAAGGTTTGGTGCTATTCAGGAATGAACCTTCATAATGCTTCCCCATTGTACCATGTCATGAGGCACATGTGGCACTTTTGGTGGTAGTGAGATTGATCAGTGGGTTTGGGTTTATGTTGTTATCTTCCATCAAGTTCCCTACCAGCCCTCCAACTTTTAATCTCAATGGCATTTATTGATCATCCTTGCCTAGAGTCATTTTTTTAAGTGTTGTCAAGTGAGGACTTTCTACCTCTGTCATTGTAGATTAGGTTTTTAAAAGTTATATATGAAGTTAAATTTTTTTGTATTTGTTTTTTGGTTTTGGAGTCTACACACTTTATCTTAAATGAGATTAGATGCCTGTATTTCTTTTCTTTCTCTAAACTGTGGGGTAAGCCAGGGATGAATAACCTTAGGTTGTTTTTTATAAGCAAAACTGAGTGACAAGGGAGTATAAATGATTTAGTTAGAACTTTTTTTCTCTTTTGAGATGTAATCTAATGAAATTCTTGAATTAGATTTGTGATCTAAGCTTCTGAAAGAATAGCTGATTTCAGGACTATTGGCCTTCCATAGTAGAGGAATCATGCTGTTTTCCATTTTATATGGTTGATCTTAACTGCCTTGTTCTTCTGTAGTTTCCTCTCAACATTATTTATACCAAGATTAATGTATTGCCATTTTTTTACTTTCAGATTCGAATGAAAGGTTCTCTTCCATCACTGAATCCTTTCCCCCAGTCCTTACTTAACTACTGTAAAGGAGGAGTAGCATTCTTCAGACCTGGAGCAACTGGAGACCACAAGCTTGATGAAGTTTCCATTAGAGCAATTGGTTTGTTGACAATGAACTACTTGCTTAGAAATTATCCTATACGTGAATAATGGTGTATAATTTATTTGATTTGGCAATATTTTTAAATGATTTGACTCTTCAAAGTATGGAGTGGTGTATAATATTTTACTTTGTGTTTACAAGTAAATGCTATAATTTTAACAGCCATATATGTACATGCATTATAGTGTGGTATTAAATTAGGAATTTTTTTTTTTTTTTTTTTTTGGTGCTGGGAATTGAATCCAGGGCCTTGTGCATGTGAAGCAAGCACTCTACCAACTGCGCTATACACCCAGCCCCAGGAATTTATTATATAATACAAAATTATGATATTATTTTTGTTGCTTCATTATTTAAATTTGAAATTTAGATGCTTTTCTTGCCTGGTGGTGCTCACCTATAATTCCAGCTACTTGGGAGGCTGAGGCAGAAGGATCGATCACAGGTTTGAGGCCAGCTTAGCAACTTCAAGGGACTGTGTCTCAAAATAAAAGAAAATGAAAAAAGGGGTAGAGTACTCCTAGATTCAATTAAAAAAAAAAAAAAAAAAAAAAAGCTTTTCCTGTGATCATTTTCTTTTCTTTTTTTTTTTTTTTAATATTTATTTTTTAGGTGTAGATGGACACAACACAATGCCTTTATTTTTATGTGGTGCTGAGGATCGAACCCGGGTCCCACCCGTGCTAGGTGAACACTCTACCGCTGAGCCACAATCCCAGCCCCACCTGTGGTCATTTTCTTGAAGTTAGGGTATGCTGCCAAACATGAAGTGGACAGGCTTTGACCTTATCAGAATAGATTTATCATTTGTTTTCTGTTTTTCTAACTTAACATATGCTACCTAAACATTTTTTCCATTTAAAAAACTTTCATATCTATTAAGTTGAAAATTTCTATTAGCAAAAATTAAAAATTTAATTCAGTTTTTGCACTTCTAAGTTGCCTCTGACACATTAGGTTCCTTTATTGTATTTTAAAATAATTTTCTTAGGTAGATTCTTAGCAGTAGAATTGTTTAGTTAATGAATATACCTATTTTATATTTCTTAAAATAGTATGCCAAATGTTATAATTCCTTTAGATTAATTTGATGGGTTCAAATGATAGTTTTATGTTAATATGTCTTCCTTGTGACTATATTGAGTATTAGTTTTCTATTATATTTCCTTTTATAAATTCATTTCCTATTCATAGTCTTATGTCCAGTTATCTGCATAATAAGCCTAAAAAGAAGTAAAACTTTGGATGCCATTCCACATTTTTCTCTTTAATTGTTAATTCTTACCATTCTATTAATATTAAGCCTTGATCTCTCTAGACTTTGATTAAAATGGTCCTTTATAACTCACTTAACCTTTGTACTAATCTTAAATAATAAATGTCCTGGGGCTCAGATTGTCTGTTTTCAAACTATAATGGCATCAAAATGCTTTTCAGTTGCTTTGCTCAGCTGTTATGAGCTTAGTTTATAGACTTTTCATTCACTCTAACAAAAGAAAGGGCCAGGTAGTTGTCCTTTGGAAATGTGTGTACAATCCAATAGTAGTTTTTAAAAATTTGGACTTTGTAAGTAATGAGTTAAATTCACAAAAATCCCAGTTAGAAGATTGTTGATCATAAATAAAACATGAAGCTGAGTGTAGTGGTGCTTATAGACTCAGCTACTTGGGAGGTTGAGGTCAGTGGATCACTTGAGCCTATGAGTTCAAGACCAGCCTCAGCAACATATCTAGACCCCATCTCAAAAACTAAACAAAACGAAACAAAACAAACAAAAAAGTTTGCAAATGATTGAAATAAAGATTTGAACATACATTTTTATTTTTTAAAGAAATAATTTATTGAAGTGAAATTAATATAACACAAATCTAACCATTTTAAAGTAAATAATTCAGTAACATTTAGTACATTCCCAGTGTTGTGTGATCACTACCTATTCCGAGCATCTCTTGAGCATGTAGTAGTTTCTTCTCACTTCCTCCTCCCTCTATCCCTTTGAGTTCTGGCTTCTTTCACTTAACACAGTGTTTTAAAGGCTTAGCCACGTTGTAGCATGGGCTAATATTTATGCCTTCTTGTGGGTGAGTAAGACTCCTTGTATGGCCACACTACAATTTATTTATCACTTAATGTATATTTGAGCTCTTTTTACCTTTTGACTCTTGAATAGTGCTGCTATCAATGCGTATGTGCTTGTACTGGTTTGAAAATCTTTCCATTTCTTTATACATTTTAAGGGAGGGGCAGAGGAGTGAATGTGGGGAGGTGGGCAGAGGCAGAGAATAATAAAATCACAAAGTAAGAGAGCCCTATGCTGGCTGATATGCTTGCTAAAATAGGTCCAACTAATTCAACTTTGGGCTTCTGACATTCTTCCCAACCATTTCTATCAGTAATAGAAGCAAGAAAGTATGCTAAAATGACATGAGACTATGCAATAGGATAAGTGCTTTGGAGCTGATAAGTTACCAGATACATATTTTACTCTTGGGTGTCTTAGGATGTGGAACGTGTGTTTTTAATTTTTTTTAAAATTGTAGATGGACACAATACCTTTATTTTCTTTATTTTTATGTGATGCTGAGGATGCTGTGATACCTCACACATACTAGGCAAGCACTCTATCACTAAGCTACAATCCTAGCCACTTGAACATACATTTTAATAATTTAATTTTGTCCTTAAGGGTCACTATTTAATTTGCTTAGTTTGGTCTTTCGGTTTTTGAGAAGTGATTTGGCTAGATTAAAAAGTTTGCATTCCTAGTTATCTAAAATAAAAAAGTTCAAATTGATTTAAAGCTTCTTATAGAGAATTTAAAAAAGATAATGAACTTTCAAGTACTTATTAGCCACCTCGACCAGATGTCAACACATGAAAGCAAATCTAAGATATCATGAGATTTTACTCATAAGTACTTCAGTATGTGTAGTCAACACAACAGGAAGTTTTTGAAAGCACAATTCCATTATTATACCTAACAAAATTAATTAAAATACTTTCACATTATATATTATCTATCCTGTGTTTTATATTTACTTGAGTATCTCAGTATGACTTCTTCAGTTATTTTTTTTCAAATCTAGAACCAAACAGAGTCCTCTACACATTGCATTTTCATTGATATGTCAATTTCTCTTAATGTACAATAGTTTCTCTCTCCCCATTATTTTTTTCAGGCCATTTATTTATTAAGGAAACCAGGTCATTTATCTAGTAGAATTCCTCTCATTCAGTTTTATTTATTTATTTTTTAAATTTTTTTTATTGGTGTTTAAAACATTACAAAGCTCTTGACATATCATGTTTCATACATTTGATTCAAGTTGGTTATGAACTCCCATTTTTACCCCAAATACAGATTGTAGAATCACATCGGTTACACATCCACATTTTTACATAATGCCATACTAGTAACTGTTGTATTCTGCTACCTTTCCTATCCTCTACTATCCCCCCTCCCCTCCCCTCCCATCTTCTCTCTCTACCCCATCTACTGTAATTCATTTCTCTCCTTGTTTTTTTCCCATTCCCCTCACAACCTCTTATATGTAATTTTGTATAACAATGAGGGTCTCCTTCCATTTCCATGCAATTTCCCTTTTCTCTCCCTTTCCCTCCCACCTCATGTCTCTGTTTAATGTTCATCTTTTCCTCCTGCTCTTCCTCCCTGCTCTGTTCTTAGTTGCTCTCATTATATCAAAGAAGACATTTGGCATTTGATTTTTAGGGATTGGCTAGCTTCACTTAGCATAATCTGCTCTAGCGCCATCCATTTCCCTGCAAATTCCATGATTTTGTCATTTTTTAGTGCTGCGTAATACTCCATGGTGTATAAATGCCACATTTTTTTTATCCATTCATCTATTGAAGGGCATCTGGGTTGGTTCCACAGTCTAGCTATTGTGAATTGTGCCGCTATGAACATCGATGTGGCAGTATCCCTGTAGTACGCTCTTTTAAGGTCTTCAGGGAATAGTCCCAGAAGGGCAATAGCTGGGTCAAATGGTGGTTCCATTCCCAGCTTTCCCAGGAATCTCCATACTGCTTTCCAAATTGGCCGCACCAATTTGCAGTCCCACCAGCAATGTACAAGAGTACGCTTTTCCCCACATCCTCGCCAGCACTTGTTGTTTGACTTCAGAATAGCTGCCAATCTTACTGGAGTGAGATGGTATCTTAGGGTGGTTTTGATTTGCATTTCTCTGACTGCTAGAGATGGTGAGCATTTTTTCATGTACTTGTTGATTGACTGTATGTCCTCCTCTGAGAAGTGTCTGTTCAGGTCCTTGGCCCATTTGTTGATTGGGTTATTTGTTATCTTATTGTCTAGTTTTTTGAGTTCTTTGTATACTCTGGATATTAGGGCTCTATCTGAAGTGTGAGGAGTAAAAATTTGTTCCCATGATGTAGGCTCCCTATTTACCTCTCTTATTGTTTCTCTTGCTGAGAAAAAACCTTTTGGTTTAAGTAAGTCCCATTTGTTGATTCTTGTTATTAACTCTTGTGCTATGGGTGTCCTATTAAGGAATTTGGAGCCCGACCCCACAATATGTAGATCGGAGCCAACTTTTTCTTCTATCAGACGCAGAGTCTCTGATTTGATATCAAGCTCCTTGATCCATTTTGAGTTAACTTTTGTGCATGGCGAGAAAAGGGGATTCAGTTTCATTTTGTTGCATATGGATTTCCAGTTTTCCCAACACCATTTGTTGAAGATGCTATCCTTCCTCCATTGCATGCTTTTAGCCCCTTTATCAAATATGAGATAGTTGTAACTTTGTGGATTAGTCTCTGTGTCCTCTATTCTGTACCATTGGTCCACCCGCCTGTTTTGGTACCAGTACCATGCTGTTTTTGTTACTATCGCTCTGTAATATAGTTTGAAATCTGGTATCGCTGTACCGCCTGATTCACACTTCCTGCTTAGAGTTGTTTTTGCTATTCTGGGTCTTTTACTTTTCCATATGAATTTCATGATTGCTTTCTCTATTTCTACAAGAAATGCCGTTGGGATTTTGATTGGCATTGCATTAAACCTATAGAGAACTTTTGTTAATATCGCCATTTTGATGATGTTAGTTCTGCCTAGCCATGAACAGGGTATATTTTTCCATCTTCTAAGATCTTCTTCTATTTCTCTCTTTAGGGTTCTGTAGTTTTCATTGTATAAGTCTTTCACCTCTTTTGTTAGGTTGATTCCCAAGTATTTTATTTTTTTTGAGGATATTGTGAATGGAGTGTATTTCCTCATTTCCGTTTCAGAAGTTTTGTCGCTGATATACAGAAATGCCTTTGATTTATGCGTGTTGATTTTATATCCTGCCACTTTGCTGAATTCATTTATTAGTTCTAGTAGTTTTTTTGTAGACCCTTTTGGGTCTGCTAGGCATAAGATCATGTCATCCACAAATAGTGATAATTTAAGTTCTTCTTTTCCTATTTTTATGCCTTTAATTTCTTTCATCTGTCTAATTGCTCTGGCCAGTGTTTCGAGAACTATATTGAATAGAAGTGGTGATAGAGGGCATCCCTGTCTTGTTCCAGATTTTAGAGGGAATGCCTTCAATTTTTCTCCATTCAGAATGATGCTAGCCTGAGGCTTAGCATAAATAGCTTTTACAATGTTGAGGTAAGTTCCTGTTATCCCTAGTTTTTCTAATGTTTTGAACATAAAGGGATGCTATACTTTGTTGAATGCTTTTTCTGCGTCTATCGAGATGATCATATGTTTCTTATCTTTAAGTCTATTGATGTGGTGAATAACATTTATTGATTTCCGTATATTGAACTATCCTTGCATCCCAGGGATGAATCCTACTTGATCATGGTGCACAATTTTTTTGATGTGTTTTTCTATCCGATTCGCCAGAATTTTATTGAGGATTTTTGCATCTAGGTTCATTAGGGATATTGGTCCGTAGTTTTCTTTCTTTGAGGTGTCTTTGTCTGGTTTCGGAATCAGGGTGATGTTGGCCTCATAGAATGAATTTGGAAGAGCTCCCTCTTTTTCTGTTTCCTGAAATAACTTGAAAAGTATTGGTATTAATTCTTCTTTAAAGGTTTTGTAAAACTCTGCTGTATACCCATCCGGTCCTGGGCTTTTCTTGGTTGGTAGTCTTTTGATTGCTTCTTCTATTTCATCCATTGATATTGGTCTGTTCAAATTGTGTGTATCCTCCTGACTCAGTCTGGGCAAATCATATGACTTAAGAAATTTATCGATGTCTTCACTATCTTCTATTTTATTGGAATATAGGTTTTCAAAATAATTTCTAATTGTCTTCTGTATTTCTGTAGCATCTGTTGTGATATTGCCGTTTTCATCCCATATGTTAGTAATTTGAGTTCTCTCTCTTCTTCTCTTCGTTAGCATGGCTTAGGGTCTGTCGATCTTATTTATTTTTTCGAAGAACCAACTTTTAGTTTTGTTAATTTTTTCAATAGTTTCTTTTGTTTCAATTTCGTTGATTTCCTCTCTGATTTTAATTATTTCTTGCCTTCTGCTACATTTGCTGTTGTTTTGCTCTTCCTTTTCTAGGGCTTTGAGATGAAGTGTGAGCTCATTTATTTGTTGGTTTTTTTCTTTTTTTGAGGAATGACCTCCAGGCGATGAATTTCCCTCTTAATACTGCTTTCATTGTGTCCCATAGATTCCGATATGTTGTGTCTGTATTTTCATTTATCTCTAAGAATTTTTTGATTTCCTCCTTTATGTCTTCTGTAACCCATTGATCATTCAGTAACATATTGTTCATTTTCCATGTGATGTAGGATTTTTCCTTCCTTCTTTTATCATTGATTTCCAGTTTCATTCCATTATGATCAGATAAAATGCATGGTATTATCTCCACCCCTTTATATTTACTGAGGGTTGCCCTATGGCATAATATGTGGTCTATTTTTGAGAAGGATCATGTGCTGCTGAGAAAAAAGTATATCCACTTGATGATGGTTGATATATTCTATATGTCAGTTAAGTCTAGGTTATTGATTGTGATATTGAGTTCTATAGTTTCTTTATTCAACTTTTGTTTGGAGGATCTGTCCAATGGTGAGAGAGGTGTGTTGAAGTCACCCATAATTATTGTGTTGTGGTCTGTTTGATTCTTGAACTTGAGGAGAATTTGTTTTATGAATGTCGCAGCACCATTATTTGGTGCATAAATATTGATAATTGTTATGTCTTGTTGGTGAATGGTTCCTTTTAACAGTATATAATGTCCTTCCTTATCCCTTTGGATTAACTTAGTCTTGAAGTCGATTTTATTCGAAATGAGGATGGCCACCCCTACTTGCTTACGAGGACCGTGTGCGTGGTATATTTTTTCCCAACCTTTCACCTTCAGCCTGTGTATGTCTTTTCCAATCAGATGTGTCTTCTGGAGGCAGCATATTGTTGGATTTGTTTTTTTAATCCATGTTACCAGCCTATGTCGCTTTATTAGAGTGTTTAAGCCATTAACGTTTAGAGTTACTATTGATATATGGTTTGTACTTCCAGCCATGTTTGATTATTTATCTTTTTTTTTTTTCAATTTAGTTTGTTTCTCCATGATTAGCTTTCCCCCCGCCCTCTGTCTTTACTGAGGCACTTCCCACTGATGGTTTTGGTTATTATTTTTCATTTCTTCCTCGTCTAGTGTTTTGCTCAAGATGCTTTGCACTGCTGGTTTTCTGGCTGCAAATTCTTTTAACTTTTGTTTATCATGAAAGATTTTTATTTCGTTGTCGTACCTGAAGGTTAATTTTGCTGGATACAGAATTATTGGTTGGCATCCATTGTCTTTCAGTGTTTGAGATACGTTGTTCCAGGTTCTTCTCGCTTTCAGCATCTGTGATGAAAAATCCGTTGTTAACCTTATTGGTTTACCCCTGAATGTAATCTGCCTCCTTTCTCTTGTAGCTTTTAATATTTTCTCTTTTTTCTGTATATTGGATATATATATGGGAGCGGTAGTCAGGAGTTCCGCTCCGCGGGTCCCACACCACTCCTGATTCCCTTGGTCTGGCTATCGCACTCACGGGAGAGCTGGAGGGGCCCTTAAGTTTTCCCCGCTGTGTGGAGAGGGAAGGCTAGGGGATTACACACCTGTTGCCGCTGGTTTCAATGAAGTTATCTCCTCCGCCGCATTCTGGTGAGGTCAGTTCTCTGCCATGGTAGTATCCCATGCAAATGGCGACAGTTCGTTTCCCTTTGCCGGGTGACCAATGTAACGGGTGGGTCCTGACTGTCTCTCCCAAGCCCCGTTTCAATCCTGTGGCCACTGCCTATGAAGGCTCGGTTGGTATTAACCTCCGTAGTTACAGAAGGGCCAACGAGTTGTTTCAGCGGGATCATTTCGTGCTGAGTCACAGCAGTTTGTCTGCGAGAAGCAGGCGAATGGGAGCTTGAATTCAGCCGATCCGGGCTCGGAGTGTGTTCCTCATTCAGTTTTAGTTGATGATACCTTTTTGGTATTCAAACTTTCATGACCACGACTTCTAATAAGATACAGATATTATATTAGTACCGTACATATATTAGTATTGTATGTACCTCAGTACAGTACTATATGGAAATGAAAATATAAGGAGCCATCCTTATTATGTACCGTACACTATTGCTATTTTCTGTTGTATTCTAGTTTTTTTAAATGGTTGAGACTCACTGAATTGATTTTATAGCCTGATAATAATCTATAATTGGAAAAACATGGAAAAGGGATGTTTTTAGATGAGTAGCTGCTGAGTTTGTTCTGCGTGTAACTTTATGATTCTTGACCCTCGTTCAGTCCCAGCATGCCTGTGAAATAAGAAATAGTGAAGCATTTATCAGTTGGTGCCTTTCAACAGACTGGGCCATGCTCCCTTGGTATAACTCATCAGAATCTGGGGTATGGACTTGGATCATAGTGCAAAACTGCCCACAGATGATCCTGACAGTCTTTGGGGTGTTTACCCACCACTCTTCTCTTTGGGGTGGATAGATTTGTAGAAGACCTGTTTTCTCCTCAGTTTTCATAACATCTAAATATACTTTGTAGCTTTGCAAGTTATTTTTAAAATAAATTAAGTAGCTTTCTAACAAAAATGAAAATACTAATCACTAAAATAAAAGTCAGTTTACTGTAAAAATAGGCTCATTTAAAAAGATTAAGGCTTTTGGGGTTGTGACTCAGCGGTAGAGCGCTCGCTGGGGACGTGCAAGGCCCTGGGTTCAATCCTCAGTACCACATAAAAAGAAATAAAAGTATTGTGTCCAGTTACAACTAAAAAATAAATATTAAAAAAAAATAAATAAAATATTAAGGCTTTTAATGACTATTAAATTTGGGGGGATTACTTTTCTCCTTCCACAGGAAAAGGCTCTGTTAGCTATAGTAGTAGAAAAGATGAGTCTTATTTATGGACATATTTAATTAAGATCAGGGAAAGTAAATTTAGTGTTAGCAGAATAGTTGAAATTCTTTTTTCTTGTACTGTGAGCCCTTGCATTATGTGTAGTTAAGTTATGATACTTCATACTATATTGGTGATATTAACCCCATGAAGTTACAAAATGAATAAACTGATAATAAATAGAGTAAGTTATATAGTTTATGATTATGTTTCCAAACTTTTCATCAACTGATATGCATGAAATATACAATAATGTGCATCAAAATTCTGGAAGAACCTATGACTTTCATATAAGGTATTTATGATAAATGTGTTTCTTTTATAATTAACAAAATAAAGACATTTATTTTGAAAAAATAACCATCAGAGGTGAAGTTGTTCTATTAATGTACATACTCATACATTCTTTTCATGTTTTTATTCCTACTTTAGGTTTCTTCAGAGAACTTTGTGCTTTGTGCTGGGTGCTACATATCCGTGATAAATTATCCTATAGTTGTAGGCAATATCAGAAAGCAAGAGAAAATGTGATGGGAGAAAAGGTATTTGCCAGTAGAAGAGTAAGAAAAATGAACAAACATTACTTGGGAAATTATTCTTTAATGGAAGATTTTATTCTTTGAAATAAACTTTTTTTTTTTTTTTTTTAATTCACTCTGGTCTATTCATCTAAAGTGAAGAGACAATTATCTTTTGAATATCTCTTTAGGACTTTGAAGAGGAGTTTGATTCCTGTATGGTGGAGCATTGTCTCAGTGCACTGGAATGGGCTTATAGAATGCTACCTTTCTCTCGGTTTTTTAATATTGAAGAACTTATTCAGGATATAATTTTGAGCCTTATTGGAGAATTGCCACCAATCAGAAAGGTGATGTGATTGTAGGTGAAAATAAACTTAAATCTGAATTAGAGACTTTGAAGAATTTTTATTTTGTTTAATAAAATTAATGTTCCCTATGTCTGGCCTATTTTACTTAGCATAATATCCTCCATACTCAGAGACAAATATTATATCATCTCACTGTGTAAAACCTAAAAAATTCAAATTAATGGAAGCAGAGAGTAGTAGAACAGGTTGTCAGGGCTGGGGTTGTGGTGGAAATGGGCAAATGTTGGTTATAGGGTCCAAACTTTCATTTATATGAGGAATAAGTTTTGGATACCCAATGTGCAGCCATAGTGACTGTAGTTAATGATTCTGTATTATTTACCTGAAATTGGATAAGAGAGATTGTAAGTGTCTTTACCACCATCTCCTACACAATGATAACTATGTCTGGTTAATTAATTTGTCTGGGGTAATCAGTGCAGAGTGTATATGTATATCAAATCATCATGATTATAATCCCAGTTATTTGGGATCTTAGAGTAGTTTTGATTTGCATTTCTGTCTCAAAAGAAAAGGACTGGAGATGTAGTTTAGAGATAGACTGCTTGCCTAGCATGCACAAGGCCATGGGTCCAATCTCTAGTACTGCAAAATAAATAAATAAACAGACAAACAAATAAATAAATAAAATTAGACACTATCACATTGTGCAATTGAATGTACACAATTTTTGTTTATTAAATATTTTAAAATTTAAAAAATAGAAAAAACAAAGCTGATGCTGAACTTTCATTAGCAAGCTCATGCTTAAGAGAGGATTTGACCTGACATCAAAAAGTTAGTAATAAATATGCATTTATGTTTGAGTTGAAATGTTTGAGGAATGAAAAGGAAAAAATAAGAATGATGTTGCTCAAAGAAATTTCAAAAATTTTTTTCTTAAGGTGGCAGAAATATTTGTGAACGCATTTCCCAATCCTGAGGAAATAAGAGTTCCTTTAAGAGAAAAGTATCACTGTCTTCGACAGAGACTCAGACACTGTGTTGTAAAAGGTATTTGTTATTTCTTAGATATCTAATAGATAAATGGCTAGAGATGCTCCCTCTTGTTTGAAAGCATTCATTTTCTGTTGTTTGTGTGGGTCTGTGCATTTTTGTCTTTCCTTTCTGAGAAGATAGCCACACTTCCTCACGGCAGAACTAATTGTCTTGCTTTGGAGCCAGACAGAGCTACTTTAGATCATAGCTCTGTCAGTCATTAACTGTGTGACCTTTGATCAGCATATAGTGCTTTGTAAACTAGTGTTTATATACTGTGTAAATAGTACAGACACACACACACACACTCTCTCTCTCTCTCTCTCTCTACTGAAAAGTAGTATTCTTTCATTCCATTTGTGGTTATTTTATATTATATATTCAAGATGACCTTGTGGATTTTTTTAAAATTATAGCAAAATATATATTATTGTTTTAACTTTTTTTTTTTTTTTGGCAGTGTTGAGATAGATCCCAGGACCTCATACATGCTAAGTGTGTCTCTAAACTGAGCTACACTAGTGGCCATATAATTATTGTTATTATTTTTTTGAGGTGCTTTGAATTAAACCCAGCAACTTGTCCTTGCTAGGCAAGTGCTCTACCACTGAGCTCCTTTTCCAATCCTTTATTTCATGACAGGGTCTTGCTAAGTTGCTGAGGCTGGCCTTGAACTTGTGATGCTCCTGCCTCAGCCTCCCAAATAGCTGTGATTACCACACTGAGCCCAGCTGGAAGTTTTTATTTTTATTATTTTTTAAAATTTATATATGACAGCGAAATGCATTAAAATTCTTATTACACATATAGACCACAGTTTTTCATATCTCTGGTTGTATACAAAGTATATTCACACCAATTTGTGTTTTTATACATATACTTTGGATAATGATGACCATCACATTCTATTATCATTTCTAACCTTCCTCCTTCCCCTCCTGCCCCTCTGCTCTATCTAGAGTTTGTCTATTCCTCCCATGTTTCCCCTCCCTACCCTACTATGAATCAGCCTCCTTGGATCAGAGAAAACATTCAGCATTTGCATTTTGGGGATTGGCTAACTTCACTTAGCATTATCTCTTCCAATCCACCATTTGCCTGCACCATGATTTTATTTTATTTTTTATTGCTGAGTAATATTCCATTGTGTATAAATGCCACATTTTTTTTTTTTATTGATTCATCTATAGAAAGGCATCTAGGTTGGTTCTACAATTTAGCTATTGTGAATTGTGCTTCTATAAACCTTGATGTGACTATGTCCCTGTAGTATGCTGTTTTTAAGTCCTTTGGATATAGACCAAGGAGAGGGAGAGCTGAGTCAAATGGTGGTTCCATTCCCAATTTTGCAATGAATCTTCATATTGCTTTACAACAATGGATGAGTGTACCTTTTTCCCCATATCCTTGCCAACACTTATTGTTGTTTGTCTTCATAATAGCTGCCATTCTGACTGGAGTGAGATGAAATCTTAGAGTAGTTTTGATTTGCATTTCTCTAATTGCTAGTAATGATGAACATTTTTCCATGTATTTGTTGATTGATTGTATATCCTTTTCTGTGAAGTGTATGTTCAGGTCCTTGGCCCATTTGTTGATTGGGTTATTTGTTTTCTCGGTGCTTAGCTTTTTGAGTTCTTTATATACCCTAGAGATTAGTGCCCTATCTGATGTGGGAGGGGTAAAAATTTCTCCCAAGATGTAGGCTTTTTATTCACCTCACAGATTGTTTCTTTTGCTGAGAGAAAACTTTTTAGTTTGATTCCATCCCATTTATTGATTCTTTATTTTAATTCTTATGCCAAAGGAGTCTTATTAAGGAAATTGGGGCCTAATCCCACATGACGAAGATTAGGGCCTACTTTTTCTTCTATTAGATGCAAAGTTTCTAGTTTTATTCCTAGGTCCTTGATCCATTTTGAGTTGAGTTTTGTGCTTGGTGAGAGTTAGGGATTTAATTTCATTTTGTTGCATATGGATTTCCATTTTTCCCAGCACCATTTATTAAAGAAGCTATCTTTTCTCTAATGCATGTTTTTGGTGCCTTTGTCTAATATAAGATAATTGTAATTTTATGGGTTAATCTCTGTGTCCTCTATTCTGTACCATTGGTCTACCAGTCTGTTTTGGTGCCAATACCATGCTATTTTTGTTACTATTGCTCTATAGTATAGTTTAAGGTCTGGTATGGTGATGTCACTGCTTCATTCTTCCTGCTAAGGATTGCTTTAGCTATTTTGGATCTCTTATTTTTCCAGATGAATTTCATGACTACTTTTTCTATGAGGAATGCCAGTGGGATTTTGATTGGAATTGCATTAAATCTGTACACTCCGGCTGGAAATTTTTAAAGAATTCATATTACTGTCATTTTTTTTAATATTTATTTTTTCTTTGTAATTTAACAGAATACCTTCATTTTGTTTGTTTATTTTTATGTGGTGCTGAGGATTGAACCCAGGGCCTCACACGTGCTAGGCAAGCACTTTATCACTGAGCCACAACTCCAGCCCCAACTGTCATTTTTCAGAACTACAATCATCAAGTCTAGTTATGTCCTGTGATCATACATTATTGTCTCATGATCATACATAATGTCCTATGATCATACATTATTACATTAACAAACTTGCTTTTGTGATTTGTATTTTTAATATATATTTTGCTATCTTCTAAAATGTCCTGTTTATATATTAATAAAAATGCTTAAAATTTTTTTCTAAAAAAATTTCTACAGGTAGCCTTGAAAAACTTTCCTTTCAATTATTTTTTACTACTTGCAGTATGAAAGGTGTCCTTATTATTTTGGATAAAATTATACTCATTTTCTCTTATTCTCCACTCTATGGAAATAGAAAATAATATTAGTTATTTTTTTAATAATTATTGATTTGATTTTTGAAATAGACTTTCCAGTGAATACTGAAGAAAACATAATGTGTAAGAATATGGAAATAAGCCTTAGCTGTTATTTAGGTTCCATGTCTCCAAGAGGGACCAGAATTGGGTTTCCATATATCATGTTGAAATAATTTAATGAACCACAAGCCCCTTTCTTCTTTTCTTTCTAGGTCCCCAGACTGAGGAAATGATGTCTGTTGTCATGCATTCTATCCATAAAGTGAGGGTAAAAGCTCTAAAACGTGTGCGGAGAAATATAGGTTCTTTTGAGATGAATGTATGGGAACCAATTGAAGAAGAAAAACCAGATGAGACTGTGGGTTTGGATAGGTTTTCTCTGGGGACTAGCCTGAGCAGAAGCACCCTCACAGAACTGGGAAATTCTATGATCCATAGTGAAGGAGATACAGCCGATACATTCTCTGAAGCTTTGTTGGCTGAAGAAAAAACTAGGATACCTTTCTGTCAAAGGTACAACTAAGATTTCTTAGTAACCATTCACTTCCTTTGGAAAATAATTTAAAAAAATAATTCAAAGCACTTCTGGTGCCATTTTGCATAAGGGATACCCAACCCTTAACACTGTGATTGGGTTAACCATATTATTTTTAAGGGTTTCCATGGTAGTACTTGAATATTCATTTTTTTTTCCTTCCACATTTTTTTATTGGTATATTGTACTTGTACATAATGATGGGTTTTGTGGTATGTATTCATGCATGCACACAATTTAACAGTATAAAATTTGGCCAATATCACTCCCCAACACTTACCTCAATCCTCCCCTCTACCCTCCTCTCCTACCATACCCCGACGATCCCTTTCCTCTGTGGATCTGCTTTGATTTTGCATATTTATTTTTGAAACTTATTCATCAATTGTTGGTAAATTCTTGCTTTTATTATCTAAACCCATGTCACTGTGATTTAAGCCAATTTTTCTTTTATGTTTCTAGTAACTGCAGTACAGTTTTTTTTCCCTTGTGACTTAAAGACTATATAATCAACAATAATTTTGGTTAAGTGAAATTATTACATCTACTCCAAATGTGTGCTTAAACTGTATCTAATGGCATTTTAAATGGTGTGCTTGTTTCACAAAACAGTTATCATTAAATGTTAGCACAGGCATCCCCTAAAAGCTGCTTACTGTGTATTCTCAGAAAAAGTGTGTTAGTTTCAACCTCATCAAGAGACCTTAAGTATCTGTTCTGCCCTAAGGACAGTGTTGAAAAAGAAATTTTATAGTAATTATTGTTGGCAGCTAAGGTGCTTGCCTAATGGGTTTCATGGCAGCTGGAAGTGTTTAGAAAAAGTTCCCAACTTTTCTGTGGTAAAATAAAAAAGAGCAGTCTCGCTTTTGCACATGGTATGTGTAAGGGGGCTGAAAGGAGCAGCCACAAGAAAGAACTTGTGGTTTTTATTGATTTTGTATTCTTAAATTCTGGATAAAATTTAGAGGACCATATTTTACACCCAGAAAAAGTATTCTTGTTTTTTATAGTTAAATTTCTGTCAGTATATTTTAATATCTTTAAACACAAGATTTCCCTCTGATATTAGTGTGTTGTATTTGTTGAGCCTATAGAATGTTTTTAGAGATCATTTTAGTCTCCTTCCACATTTGAAACAGTAATTGAGGCACAAAAATGTTGCATGACTTAATCAGTACAGATATTTTGTATGTCAATTCTGAGATCAGTTTTAGTAATTCAGTGATCATTAATTATGTCTTTTTCAATTTTTTTTCTGTAGAAACTCCCCAGATAACATGGAATTAACACTGATTCATAAGCCCAGTGATAGAAAGAAAATATGTAATCAGAGCAAAAACCCTAAAAGGAAAGAAGATCACGAAAAGCTATCACAAAGTACACTTCCTATAATAGGTATTTGGGAATTTGAGCGTGATGATGATGAATATATTAAATTCCTTGATCTTTTCTTGAGTTACGTTCTTGAAAGAGACCTTCTCAGTTCCAGAGATCCTGTCATTCCATTTTTAACCAGCTTTTCTGTACAACTTAGAGAACATGAGCTTAATTCTTTACTTTTTGATGTACATACAACATTAAAACGACGTCAGGGCAAAACTAAAAGCCAGAATGTGTTTAGAGCTGGCTCTTGCTTTGTAGTTGCTCCTGAGTCACCTGAATCTGGAAAAGCATCCTCTGTAAGTGATGGATATGCCATAACTTTAGAAAACCACGCACTTTCGACTTCAGAACTTGTTAGTCATGGGATGAGACCTTTTTTAGAGAACCCTTTGCATGAAATCAGTAAAGATGAAGGAAAGAGTGGATTGTTTGGTTTAAAAAAAAAGTCAATTTACAGAATTCAAGATGGTAATCGAGAGAAACCTCTGAACCAGAGACCATCAAACCATAGTTTTTGGTCTTCCAAGACCACTATAACTAGAAGACACAGTTTCAAAGCAGTTCAGTGCAATGATATTAACCCTCAGGAAGATCTCCCTTTGACAGTAAAGAATGCATTTGGTAGTATAGGAAGACTGTTGGAGTGGATGATAAGGTGGTCTGATCGAAGACTGCTCTGTGATTCTGGTATCACTCGGTCACCCTGTGAGTACAGTCCAGTAATTCGTGTGAAGACTTCTGCAGCTGCCATTCTTACCTCATTATGGCTTTTGGAGCAACCCTATTATTTTTCTACATCTAAGGCAAAAAATGCCATTATTAAGGTAAGGAAGTCAACTGTTTATTAGAAATAAGAACTGTAATTTTTATTAAAACTGTATATTTTCCCCTTTATTAAAGAATTAGTAATTAATGGGAAATTAATAGTAATGTTGATTATATTCTTTATTTTTTTAAGACATCGATGGACCTTTATTTTATTTGTTTATTTACATGTGGTGCTTGCGAATCGAAACCAGTGCCTCACACATGCTAGGCAAGTGCTTTGCCATTGAGATACAATCCTAGCTCCTGATTATATTCTTTATCACTCAATTTTTTTCTTCCAGTAATTTTTAAAAAAAATATTTATTTTTTAGTTATAGGTGAACACAACATCTTCATTTTTTTTATTGTTATGTGGTGCTGAGGATCGAACCCAGTGCCCCATGCATGGTAGGTGAGCACTCTACCTCTGAGCCACAACCCCAGCCCCAACTACCAGTAATTCTTTTAATTCTTAAACATAATTAGTGTTTGGAGGTGTAACTCACACTTGCCTAGCATGTGTGAGGCCCTGGGTTCCATCCTCAGCACTACAATAATGATAATGGTGGTGGTGAGGGTGCAAGTGCTTTCATAGAGGCTGTAGGTTTTGAAGTGTATGTGTTTGTGAAAAATAAAAAAAGGTGAATAACTTTAAGTGATATTACAAATGCCATAACACTTATATTATTTCTCTTTTAAGTGTCAGCCTTTGGTTCAGATGAAGGACTAGGTATTGACCCATTTATTATTATTGATGCTTCATTAAATGCAACAGGGAATCTTTTTATTTGTAGTCTCAGGCCAGAAGAGTGCGAAGAACCTCACCTGGAAAGGTAGGTGTTTTGTCAGTAGAGATGTGCTGTTCTTTGTTTTCTCTGGTCAGTAGTAAGTGCCTTCATTCTAAAATAGTTTATTCTGGTTCAAGGGTAAGGAAGTCAACTGTATAAGAGTTTCTGTAGAAACTCCCCAGATCCATGCAATCACCCAGAATTTGTATTATTTTATTTTTTGTTTATATGGGTGTTTTCTTTCCTTCTTTTTTTATTTTTGTTTTTGAGATCAGTTGTTCTCCTAAGGTACACAATTTAATTATTTGGTGCTATGATTATGTGTTATCTTTGAAACTTGCGTTTTCTAGTTAATATATGCATAAATTCCTAGGTGCCTGTATTTTCGTGCAATGTGTCTTTTTTTTTTGGTTCCTGGGATTGAACCCAGGGGTGCTTAAACACTGAGCCACATCCCCAGCCCTACTTTATATTTTATTTAGAAACAGAGTCTTGCTTGGTTGTTAAGGCTGAGGCTGGCTTTGAACTCAAAATCTTTCTGCCTCAGCCTCCCAAACTTCTGGGATTACGGGCATGTACCACCACTCCTGGCCACTGGGTCATAACTACTGAATGTCTTTATTTTTTTAAAATAGTCTGCCATTCATTCATTCATTCATTCTGCTACTGGGAAATAGAATCCAGGGGTACTTTATCACTTAGCTCTATCCCCAGTCCTTTTTTGTATTTTGTTTTGGGACAGGGTATAAGTTGCTGAGACTGGATTACAGGATTACAGGTGTTTACCACAACACCTAGCTAAACGTCTTTATAATTGCAAAGAAAGTGAAACTAGAGTATTCAATTTTTCATTGCCATTGTTTGGTGACCTGAAAATAATTAAGATACACTTTAAGAATTTCGAAGTTTATTTCTTTGGTATACTATGTAAGAAGTCATGTGTGCTTTTTCCAGGTGGAATAAAGACTTGGTCATTGCTTCAGTAACAAATATTGAGTTGTAAAACTGCAATAAATACTTGATAAATGAATAAGAGAATTGATCAGGAGAAGTTTATAGAAAGTATGAATAATTTAAATATAAAAATTAAGGGATCACTAATGAAAACAAAATGCTATAAATGGTTTGTTTCAGGAGCTAGAGAATCATAGTAAGTCTCAGATTGGATGCAGTATGGAGAGGAGGAGGAGCAAAACTGATGCTGGCTGTTTAGCTGTAGTAGCAACTCAAGGTGGAACTGAGGAAAGAGATGATCAGAATGAATTCTGTCAAAGTATCTTGAAGTAAGTTGCTCCTTGTGCTCTTCTTTTCAATAGAGGTTGACTGGTTTGTTAGTTTGGGGCTTAAAGGGAGGAATTGAACCGTTAAAAGTTAAAGAAATGAGCATTTTCTTTGAACTAGAAGAATAGAAATGAGCTTTCTGATATACTTCAACAATTAATTGCAAATTATGTTTTATCCCTGTTGGTCTGGCTTTTTTAGAAAGGAGCTAATTCATCTTGACAGATCCAGTTATTAGTTTATTGACCATTCAGAGGGAGTTGAATTAATCCAATTGTCAGTTTTTTATATGAAATAATAATAATATATCTGAATACTGTGTTAGCTTCCTGTAACAAAGTACCTGGGAAAAGGTTTGCAGGGTACAGTGTCACATACCTGTAATTTAGTGGCTTGGGAGGCTAAGACAGGAGGATTGAGAGTTCAAAGCCAGCCTCAGCAGTTACGAGGTTCTAAGCAACTCAGTGAGACCCTGTCTCTAATTAAATTACGAAAACAGGGCTAGGGATGTGGCTCAGTGGTTGAGTGCCCCTGAGTTCAATCACTAGTACCAAAAAAAAAAAAAAAAGAGAGAGAGAGAGAGAGAGAGAGAAAAGGTTTGCCATGTGAACCTTTATTATAGCAAATATCAAGGCAAAAGCTCTTACAGCATGAAGATTCCTTTGTGAAAAAAGGCAATTTTAGATAAGTTGAAGTTATTCTAGTCTTTTAAGTAAATGAAAACTAGAATATTCAGCTATTTGTTGATCAATTTTTTGCTGAGCTATGTACCAGAAATGTAAAAATTAGAAAAAAAGACTCGATAAAGATGAAAATGAAGTTTATAGTTGTTTAAAAAAGCATGGAGTCAAGTGGAAGCATGCTCTTTGTCCCCAAGAATGAGTTGTAACTTAGTTGCTGCATTTTTTTCAGTGGAAAGCTGACTGAAGCAGAAAATCCTAAAGTAAAAGAAGTCAATGATGAGATTATTTCCATCAGTCATAATTCTGAAAAAGAATTTATAGATACCAGTGAGAATCTTTTAGAAGTAGAAACATTTACACAGGATGAAATGGATATGCATATGTCAGACTGTGAAGGTCAGTTATATAGATCATCATTTTCTTTCACTTTATTAATTTGAAATTAATAGGTGATACCTGAAATTATAGTTTTATATCTAAGTCAGTATGTTTACAATAGCCCAGAAATAAAAAGAGAATGTTCTTTATGAAATGTTGAGTGTATTTGTAACCTTAGGTTTTTATTTATTTATTTATTTATTTTTAAAGAGAGAGGGAGAGAGAGAGAGAGAGAGAGAGAGAGAGAGAGAGAGAGAGAGAGAATTTTTTAAATATTTTTTTAAATTTTTTAGTTATCAGCAGACACAACATCTTTGTTTGTATGTGGTGCTGAGGATCGAACCCGGGTCGCATGCATGCCGGCGAGTGCACTACCACTTGAGCCACATCCCCAGCCCAGCCTTAGGTTTTTAATAAAACCAAAAACACATAAGGCATTTTTTTGTTAGTAGCTTTTACAATTATTGGGCCTCTTGTCCTACCTGTTTAATAATGACAGGCCTCTTAATTCCTGTGAATTGACCCCATGAAACAGATGTCATCAAAGCAGAAACTCTGAGAGCTTTACATATGGAAAGGAGCTCTCCTAGGACTCATCGGGGATTTACCTGATGAAGAGTCTAAGTGTTTTTTTTTTTTTTAAGAGAGAGAGAGAATTTTTAATATTTATTTTTTAGTTTTCGGCAGACACAATATCTTTGTATGTGGTGCCGACCATCCAACCCGGGCCTCAAGCATGCGAGGCGAGCGCGCTACTGCTTGAGCCACATCCCCAGCCCAAGTCTAAGTGTTTTTTAAAAAATATTTTGTTAAGGTAGAAAATGTTTCCTGTAATATTCCTGAAACCCTTAAATAAGTCAAACGATTATTTTTCAAAAGGCAAATTTTCTTTTCCTTTAATTTTCTTCTAGAAGAATCTGTTGGAGGTCTCAAAAGTCCCAATATTGCCATTTACATGCCAGCTTTACCACAGCAATTGGAAGAGGTAAATCAAGAGTGGATAAAATGATCTAACTTCTGTCTAGAGTTTAAATTATATCTAAGGGTTTTTATCCACTATTACAAAATATATCAAAGCAAAGCTATTATCTTTTACATCTGCACTATTGAGCTAAGAATAGAGCCATGCCTTGCAGAATTTTTCTTTCACTAAAATTTTACTAGTACATGTCCAATAATTTTAGGCAATGACTCTCTTTTCATAAACTGCTTCAGCAAATTAATCAAGAGTGGTGAAAATGTTCGTAATTTATGAAGTATAATTCAGTATAGGATGTAGTTTGTAATACTATATGCACTTTCTATATTAATTTGTTTTCTCAAAATTCTATATACATTGAACATCTAGGTGGAAGATAGAGTGTTCCAATTAATGTAACAATTCTTTTAGAAAAGAGTGGTCTTTTTTGATTTTGTGGTTGTTTTCACAGATTAATTAATAATCATGCAGTGATGAGTGTATGTAACTTATATTGTGTTAGTCTACTCAAAATTATCATGTCTTTGTACCTGAATATGCTCAGTAGCTCAGAATGATAGCCAAAGGCAGTTCATATGGTCTAAGGATCTGGTCAGAGCAGTCCTGGGAGTACATGTTAGTATTTGATTTTCCCTTGCTTTTAAACTGTTGTTACTCTGGGCAAGTAGCTAATGTGAAACTCAAAATACCCATCCCAGGAAATTCCTATTTGTTTTACCTCTTTTCATTTTGGGTACTATTTTTACAGCATCTGACAGAAGAGGTTTTGTGTCCAAGGGAAGAACCATGGGAGGCAAATATGAAAGAAAAATCAGTTGAACAGAAAGGGTAAGGGGAAGATAGTATGAAATGACTTCACTGGCTTCTTTAACTCAGTGAAGCTGCAGCTTTTTTTTTTTTCCTCTGAAGTTGTACTACGTATTTTATGGTGTTATTATATTTCTAATGAAATTGGTAACTTCAGTTTATAGCTAGAGTAAACAATGATTTTTGGTAAATGTTACATTTTCAAGTTGTGCTAGAGTGGAATAAATAATAATATCGAAAATACCTTTTCTTCTCTATCACTATCAGTCTTATCAAAATAAAATATAACTGTAAATAGAACAGTGTATGTTCATCTGCCAATTAGCGAACCACCTTTCCATGTTTATGGAATCAAAGAGCCCTTATGCATCATGATTACACATGATCTTTCCCCATTGGCCCTGCAGTAGAGCTACAAGGAGCACATGCTCTGCTGGCTGGCTTGTTACTGTTTCAGAAAGAGCTGAGGGGCAGTTGTAGAAATGAGTGTTAGAATTTTAGGATTACCTTGAATATGAGAGGCAACATAATTAGATTTTCTTTTTTTAGTATACAAATTTTGTTTAGTTCTACTGTGAACAATTGACAAAAAGATTTTTCCCCCCCTCAGGGGTGGGGTTCGATACTCAAGGTCTTGCACATGCTTTACCACTGACCTCTGCCTCCAGCCCCCCAAATTATACATTTAACGTGATGTGCCTTTATGAGATACATCTATTTGTAAAAACTAGTCTTTACGGTTTCATACATGACAACAATTTCTTTTTTTTTTAAGATATTTATTTTACATTTATGTGGTGCTGAGGATTGAACCTAATGCCTCATGCACGCTACCACTGAGCCACAACCCCAACCCCAACAACAATTTCTTCAGTGTTCTTAAGCAAAGTGTTTACCTGTTCCATAAGAGAAATTTGGGTCCCAGCCAACCTCATGTCCCTCATTTTAGGTTCTGTTGTTTTTGTTGCTGAGCAATCAACATTGTTTAAGTTAAGTCATATAGAAATATTTTTTTGCTTTTGTTTGAATCTATTTCTAATCGCTATGGAGACAGATGTAAGTAGATTATGATTATGAGCCAAACATTACAGAGTGTTAGAGGATGTTTAGACTCGTAGATGGCTAATCATTAGATCACCTGTATCTTAGATAATGTAAACAATATCTTCCTTCCTAATCACTTATTAACTTTTATTTATAGTATGACTGAAGCCTTTTCAAATCCTGAACATGCTGTTTCTCACTCGTTTTGTATAGATACAAATTCAGAAATTTCTAGGTAAGAATTTTTGTCTACTACTTTAAAAATGATCATGTTGTACAAGTAAGTAAGAGGATGAATTGATGCCTACTGTACCAGTTTGAAATAACTGCTAAATGTTGGCTAAAACTATGAAAATAATAAATGAACACACCATGCAATATTGAAAGAGTAACATAGCACAAATTTTTGACATCTTAGTTAATTATTCAAAGATTTTTTCTTTACCTATTGTTAAGGACATATAGGGATACTTTTTTCCCAGAAAAAAAGTAGTGGATATATTATTGAAAGATGTAATTGTTGCTATTTTCAGCTTCTGATTTCTAATATCATTTGAAATACTTTTAATTCTCTTTTGATGAACAGAGTGCTTTCTGTTTAGAAATCGTGTATAATTAGGAGGAAAACATAGCATGGCTTTACTTTACAAAATTTTTACATAATTAGAATTGGTCTTCTTGTTAGTTGTTGAAAACAAATCCCAGTAGTTTTTTAAAAATAGTCATATATGGCATGATGGTTATTTTTCGTGAATGTTCCATATTAAAAAAATGTTCCATATAAAAAAATTAATGTTCCATATAAAAAAAAGTTTTGTTACTGAGCATATTAGATGCCCAATAAGAGGCAGATATTAGCTGAAAGGGATTGACTGTAAACCCAAATAAATCTAAGTGCATTTTAGTATGTTGTTTTCTTTTTGGAAACAGTGACTAATTTATTTGAATATAAACATCTGTTCCTTTAGTTTATGAAATTTATTTGCTTAGAAAACATTGGCTACTTGCTATTTTTAAGGAATTGATCCCCAACAATCATTTTATTTCAAAAAACAAAAAATTGCTGGATGCAGTGGTTTAAACCTGTAATCCTAGTAGCTGGGGAGGCTGAGGCAGGAGGATCACAATTTCAAGGCCAGCCACATCAACTTAGTGAAGCCCTGAGTAACTCAGCAAGACACTGACTCAAAAAAAATAAAAAGTGTCGGGGGTTGTGGCTTAGTGGTAGAGTGCCACAGGGTTCAATCCCCAGTACCAAATAAATAAATAAATAACAAAACCAAAGAACTAGATTTGATCTTTAATTTTATTTTTAAATAAATGTTTTTATTAGTGTTTATTTTTTTTTATTTAGAAAAAGGAAAAAAAGAACATGCTGAACATGCTGTTTCTCACTCGTTTTGCTAGCAAAGGAGAAACACAGGGAACTCCTGTCCTAGAGGTTGTGATTCTCCCCATCATGGGGAACAAGAGGGTTTTTGAAGTGATGATTCAATGGCTACATTCCAGGTGTTCCCTGTCCAGAGTTGTAATTGTTAGAGTTTGTTTTAAATGGGACCTGATTTATTTGGAAATGTTCACCACACTGTTGTTTCATATTGAATGGTGATCAGCAGCTGCTTGCTTTGTTGATCTCAGAATTAAACATTTTTTAACCTATTCTTTCCTTAGTTTTCTTTAATCTGAATCATTAATTTTAGTCAAAAATCTTAATCCTAAGCCAAATTATGAAGTCTGTATAGTTAATCAGAATGATCATACATCTCAAACTCAGATACCTGCATGGACCTATGCTGGACTTTCCTGTGCTGTAGCAGCATTGGGAGGGACCATCATTGACTGTGACAGTACATGTCCCTGATACAGGCATTTAGATGAAAAATGATAGGTACTGCAGAGATCCTAAAAACTGCCAAAATAACCCCTAAATTTGAAAAAAACGTGGGGTCTAAATATTGATGTTACAGATTTTTTTAATTAATTTGCATTTTTAAAAATTTAAATGTTTCCATATAGTGTACAGATTTCTGCATTTAAAGGTAAATCTCCTTCATTTCTGCCCCTGGTATCAACTGGAGTCAATGTTGCTTCAGAAACACCTGTTCCATCACCTGGGACGACCCAGAGAAGTGAACACAGGGCTCCATTACCAGATTCTTCAGATTCTGTTAGACAAATGCTCCAAGATGAAATGTTTAAATTAGTTCAGGTGAGCATATCTCTACAAAAGTAAGTAGATCTACAAATGATTGTATATGGTTTAAAGTTAATAAACTTCCAGAAATGAATTTCTCACTGGTGTGCTGCTCTGTGCTGTTTTCTTTCTTGAAAACTTGTTCAAAACACACCCATTCTAGGAATCCTTATTTATTCTCACCCTCCTCCATTGAACCACTCCTTTATGATCTCTGGATGGGTTTGTGAACTGGTTCATAGGTTTATGCATAGTCTCAGGTTTCATTGGTGATTTAGTGTTTATGTTCCCATACTTTTTTGTACCCTTTTTTTAAAAAAAATCTCTCCTGGCCCTGCCTCCCAGTCTGCATTTATGAGTCTTGACAGATGCCAAGGCAAAAGTGTGACAAAGAATATTCAGGTGGTTATTGTTGATTCCTTAGAGTCTTTTCATTATGTTTTAAGCTATCTCTTTAATTCTGTTTTGTTGTAGCTGCAACAGATCAATTTCATTAGTTTAATGCAAATAGTAGGATCATCTTTTGCTAACCTCCCAGATGTGCATCAACTTCTACAGCAGACTCAGATTGAACGTTTGGGAACAAGCCAGGTTTCAAACCCTACAGGAGGGAGTGATGATGTTGAAGTCAACAGAAGTAGGAATCTTAGTCAGAAAATTTTCGTTAAACCACAGTCCATGGGAGAGTACACCAGGGAGTCTGTCAAGAATAACTCACATGGCCATGAAGAAATTATCCATTCTGATCAAAATAATAATGGAAATCTTCAGGTAATGCCAATAAAAATACCATTAATGTTCTAGTAGTCTGATCATTGTTCTTTTGGTATTTGAGCAAATTAATCTTTTTTTTTTTTTTTTTTTTTACTGATAAGCAGGTGTTTAATGATACATTGCTCTTCACAACGATGACTACAGAGACTTTTAAAAACTAATTTAGGAATTTACAACCAGGCATCACAGATCTGAAATAAACTGGTTTCTTACCACAACTACCTTGTAAACACTGCAACCTTTCTTCTCTTCAAAATGACCCTAATATCACATGGAAACGGTTAATGGGGAAACCAGAAACCTAGATTTATGAGCAAAACTATAAACAAAAGGGAAATATAGCAATTCAGTGGTTTGGTAAAAGCAGAGAATCCAGTGCTCTTCACTGTGCTGCTTTGCTCTTCTTACTCTTGCTCTTTTTATCTCTTCTTCAGCTCTTCCATGTTAGCTCCAGTAGGCTTGAGTAAGCCATCTGAAACTTATTCACTTCTTTGGAGCTCACCGCTGTGATGGTCTTCTTTTTCCCATCCATTGCTCTCAACAGTCACTTCTTGTCTGAGGGCTCAACACCCTCCACAGAACCCTTCTCAGTGTAGGTTTAGTTCGACCATCATACTTCTTCAAGGTGATGTACATGCTGCCCGACAGCTGACACTTTTGGAAGAGCCTGGGCAGCTCCCTGAGGAACTGCTGGCTCTCCAGGAGCACCATCACAGTACTGCTGGACCCTTCCGGTCAACATCAGCCCCCTGAGCAAATTAATTTCTTAATAATTTTCTTAACATTCCACCCCTCAAAATATGTTTAAAATCATTTACAAAATATGGAGTTTGTAATATTCTAAACTTACATTATATCTTTTTTTTTTTTTCTTTTCCAGAATGTTCCCCATGGGAATGTATCTTCATGTCAAGTAGATGGCCAATCTCAGAGGATAGGACTCACCCTAGCATCTCAAAGCTTAGCACCCCCTTCAATTTCTCTAACTCCTGCTGGAAATACTCCCTTCCATCTTTTGTCCACGCCTTCTAATGTCTGGAAGACACCTAGACTTATCCCACCTGCCAAAACGTCCAGTCCTGATTCTGGCTTTCCTTTGCTTCAGTTTGAGCATAAACATGAATTCAAGCCCCTTTCTTTACAAGCAGAAAGAGTACCACACATTCCCTTTCGGCCTCTGGCCCAGCCAAGAGAGGCTTGGGGGTTATCCGGTGGCTTCCAGCCTCCTGTACCACAGGGAAAAATACCCGCTACCTCAGGATCCCACTCAAACTCAAGCCACTGCAGTACTGAAACCATAAACAAAGCAACTGAGCAGAAGAAATGGGCAGAAAGTGTAATTACAGACATTCCTATGAATGTGAACTTCAGTCAGTATATTGGAGAAGAAAACTTGACATCTCAACAGGACTCTGTAATATTAATAAAGCCAGAAAAACTCTATGATGCTAAGCAAGGGTCCCTTAAGATATCTCCTGAGAATTCCTTTGGACTTCCATTGTTGCACCTGCAATTTAAGTCTCCTTATATATTTTCATCAGCCACAAGAGCATCAATTACAGTTCCCCCAAGACATACTAGAACTGTAGCAGAAGAAAGAAAATACCCACAACTGTCATTATTGCAATCATGTTTGTCCTCGGAAAATATGGTAATTAATTTTTGTGCAGTGATACAAGGGCAGGATCCTACATTTTTTGTAACATGAATTCTATAAGTTCAGCGAAAACTCTAAATAATGCTTTTGGGTTTTTCGTATTTTAATTTCATATAACAGAAATTTCAGGTTTAAAATAATAAGTGTATTTTAGAGATATTAGGCCTTTTTTCTTTATCAGTATATCAGAATTTAATAGAATCTTTCATAGTTATTTCTTCTCAGAGAAGAAATGAAAAATATAATTATTAGGTGTTCTTGTTTGCATGTGGGTGTGTGCATGTGTAGAGAGCAAGAGTGAGCCAGTGAGATTGCTAACAATTGCGATATGACTCTCTTCAAATCTGTTATAGGTTAAAGTTAAGTCAACCCCGCTCTATCAGTAGCTGTGCATGTAATTAAATGGTAGCTTTGTAAACCCACCAAATCCTCTTTTAAGATATTATCTTTGATTTATGAAATACAAAATGTTTAGGTTCTAATTTTGTACATGAGTAGTACCATCTTAGGGAGAAATTCATTCTGTTGTATGCTTTAAGATTTAAAGATGATACTGGAAAGAGAAATGGCTGTTCCTTAGAAAAAATAGTTACCATGCCTCCTTCTGAACACAATATAAAGAAGGAGGTAGAATTAAAGAAGTGGAAAAGTTGGCGTTTTGAAAATAATTTAAAAAAAATTTTATTAGAATAGTATAATGAACCCTCAAGTTCCCATCACCGTATTTAGGGATTGTCAAACTTGTTTTAAAAATTAAACTAGAGGTCTTCAGCCACATCAATGTTTATAGTAGCTCAATTCACAATAGCCAAGCTATGGAACCAATCTAGGTGCCATACAACAGATGAATGGGTAAAGAAAATGTTGTATATATACACAATGGAATATTACTCAGTCATAAATAAAAATGAAATTATGGATGTAACTGGTGAATATCATGCTAAGTGAAATAAGCCAATCCCCAAAAACCAAAGGCTGAATGCTATCTTTGATAAGTGGATGCTAACTCATAACAAGGGAGGGTAGAGGGGAAGATTAGAAGTTCACTGGATTAGACAAGGGAATGAAGGGAAGGGAGGGAGAGGGGAATAGGAAAGACAGTAGAATGAATCAAATGTAACTTTGCTATATTTATGTATGAATACACAACCAGTGTAACTCCACATCATGCATAACCAAAAGAATGGGATCCTAATTAGAATAAATTATACTACATATGTGTATGATATGTCAAAATACACTCTGCTGTCATGTATATCTAAAAAGAATAACAACAAAATAAAAGGGTAGAAATCTTGAGGACCAGAGATATAGTGATATAGTGATACAGTGATATATTGCTCAGTGATATAGTGCTTGTCTACCTCGTGCAATTTAGTGTTGGATTTGATCCTTAACGTGTTTAAAAAAAAAAAAAAGACCTAGTTGAAAATTTCCATTCTAAAATCTCTAATTCTTCAAAATATGAGTACTTAGCTTACCAAGTTGTTATATTTGATTTTTTCTCTTTTGCATATTTTGGTTTAATTAAACAAATTTTTTCCTCAGTTTGTCAACATATTGTATATTTGAGTTTATAAACTTTCATTATTTTGTTTCTTGTAGTGTAAGAAACCGCAGCTTATCCCACTTGAAAACCTCATTACGTTTAAACAAAGCCAGCAGAAACTAACACATCATCATTTATTGCAACAAGGGGATTCTGGTTGCCTTCAGCTTCTCAATATCAAAGTAGAACCATCTGGATTAAGACAAGGAAAGAACAGTCACAAAAGGCAAGTTCTGGGCTGGGTTGTGGCTTAGCGGTAGCGCGCTCGCCTAGCATGTGTGAAGCCCTGGGTTCAATCCTCAGCACCACAAATAAAATAAAATAAAGATATTGTGTCCATCTACAACTAAAAAATAAATATTAAAAAAAGGCAAGTTCTAATTTTTTGATGATATGTATCAATAAGTTATTATTTATAAATCCATATAGTCTTTTTTTTTTTCATCTACAAGTATTTATTGATGGATCAAAGGATGCAGTTGTAATCCATGTAGTCTTAAAGATGGAAGTCCTCTGGTTCAACCTCCTGGCTTAGTACACAATTTCATATTCTGTTTCCTTGCCATGTGTCATGTATTTTTTTTTTTTAATTGGGAATTGAACTCAGGGGCACACAACCATTGAGCCACATACCCAGCCCTATTTTGTATTTTATTGAGAAACAGGGTTATTAAGTTGCTTAGTGCCTCACTTTTGCTGAGGCTGGCTTTGAACTTGCGATCTTCCTGCCTCAGCCTCCTGAGTCACTGGGATTATAGGAGTGTGCCACCACACCTGGCAAGTGTCATGTATTTTAACGTGTCTTATAATGAGGAAAATATCTCTACTGGGAGATAGTCTTATCATTTTTTTTCTATTAGGGAATTTGTTTCTACTGTTCACAGGCTGGAGGATTCTTTTACATGTTTTTATAACTCAATGAGTAAAAGATGCTTGTCTTTTGCAGCAAAATATTTGGTATCATGTAGTGTTCCAGGTACTATCTGATTCTTTGAGCCAGTATTTATTGTTATTGATCTTATATTCTACAGACTCTTGTAGTAAGCAGGAGTGTAGGTAATTGCTTCATGGCACTAAAAGGTGTATATGTACAAAGCAAGGCTGTAATATCTAATGAAGAGCACTTAGTGTTTTACCTGTAATGGATGTTCAAGACACGTACTGATTGATTTACTGAATCTAGAGAATACTTCTAAAATTTCACATTATCAGACTGTAAAATTTATTCCCATTGCTCTTTCCAGAAATGATTTACTCCTTCTATCCTTTCTGTGTTTTCCCTCTTCAATATAAGTCTTCTGTTTAGGTTTTGGGGACCTCTCTTCCTCCTTACTGGGATTTCACTGAGGTGACTAAATGTGCTTAGCCTTATCAGGATAGGCAAATTAATATATCTGATATGATTTCTAGTACCAGCTACAAATCTGCAGAAAAGAGAGTTTGACAGTTAACTAAAAGGTTTAAGCCTATCCTGACATCCTGTGGCCACCAAAGAATAGTCAGTTAAGTAGTAGAAGAACTAGGAATAAATACCACATATTTTTTATTTTTTTGTTTATATATATGTCTACAATCTAGCAGAATGAATGTCTTACTAATTAAATTAAATTCTATTAAATAATTTATTAACATGATTTCAATAACGATTTCTGTATAGCATGATACAAACAAAAAAACTAAATACATTTTATACCTTTTTTTTTTTTTATGGGGATTAAACCCAGGGCCACTCTACCACATACTCCACCACTGAGCTACATCCCCAGTCCTTTTACTTTTTTATTTTGAGGCAGGGCCTTACTAAATTGCTGAGGCTGGCCTCAAACTTGAGATCTTCCTGCTTCAGCTTTGTGAGACTCTAGGGTTATTGGCATGTACTGCCCACGCCTGACTAATGCTGTTTGTTTTTAACAGGCAAAAAAGACGAACTGAGAAAGAGCTGCAAGAAAAAAGATGCGAAAAACTTAGGACAAAAACAAGTGTGAGTTTCTGGCCAGAGGATTCCTTCATTAATAATGATGACTCAGAAATTGCCATGAAACTCAGAGTGTAGAACAACTACTTCCTGACTTTGCATGTTCACAGAGTTTGGTGTTTCTTGTGGCTTGTCTAGTAGTGCTGGAAGCTTCAGGTTGTGATTAGGAGTCTCTTCATCATTCAGTACACAGATCCCTGCATCTGCCTATGTGATTTTTTTTTTTTTTTTTTGTACTGAAGATTGAACTCAGGGACACTTAACTACTGAGGTACATCCCCGGCCCTTTTTTGTATTTTAGAGATAGGGTCTCCCTAAGTTTCTTAGGCCCTTGCTAAGTTGCTGAGGTTGGTTTTGAACTTGTGATCCTTCTGCCTCAGCCTCCTAAGCCACTGGGATTACAGGCATATGCCACTGTACCTGGCCTTTGTGACATTCTTATGCTTGAAATAATTCTTTGCTTTTTCCTCTGTTATTTTAATGCATATGATTTGTGATTTAGGGTCTTCCTATTAGAATTTTACCACTCTTTGAGGTGCCTCTAATGTTTCCCAAACATAGATTTATTTTATTTTTTTATAACTTTGTTTTGTTTTTTTTAAAATTATTATTATTATTATTATTATTATTATTATTATTATTATTATTATTATTATTAATGTGTTGCTGGGGATTGAACCCAGTTTCTTGTACATGCCAGGCAAGTACTCTGCCACTGAGCCACAACCCTGGCTAAACAAACATTTATTAGGTAACCTGTAAGTCAGATCTTTGTAAACATTCTTTCAAAATTTGGTGACTATTTAGCTACTTGGGTAACAACAGATTAAATAAACAGAAGTTCATTCATGTGGATTTTTTAAAGATATGCTTTTTCAGTAAGTCCTTGTTTTAGTAGCTGTTTCGCTGCTGTGTCTGTCTAAAGGATCCAACCAGCACAATTGTAGAGAAGGAAAAATTTATTTGAGGGCTCATGGTTTCAGAAGTCTTAGTCCATAGAAGGCAGGTTCCATTCCTAGGGGCTCAAGGTGAGGCTGAGCACCATGGTGGAAGAGTATGGCAAAGGGAAGCAGCTCACATGGTGATCAGATAGCAGAGAGAGAGATTCCACTCTCCAGATACACAATATATACCCCATAGCCCCACCACCAATGAACCACTTTCTCTAGCCACACCCCACTTACCTCCAGTTAACCACTCACTTAATCCCATCAGGGATTAAGTGAATAGGTTAAGGCTATAACCCAATCATTTCTCCACCAAAACTTGCATTGTCTCATACATAAGCTTTTGGGGGACACCAAATCTAAACCATAATAGTCCTCAGGAGCATGTTTAGAGGCATTTCATGAAAATGTTTGTTGTGTCCATGAAAGATTTTGACAGGATTGGGATTCTATTAGAGTATTGAAATTAATATGCAGTGGATAATTGCACATACTGTGTTAGTCAGCTATACCTTGTGGTGACGAAAATACCTGAAAAGTTTATTTTGTCTCATGACTTCAGTCTATGGTTAGCCAGCTCCATTACTCTGGGCATGAGGTTTAACCAAGCATCATATTGTAAGGGTGTGATGAGGAAAGCTGGTCAATTTATGGTATCCAGAAAGCAAAGGGAGGAGACAGAGACAAGATGTAGTCCTCAAGGGCATACCCCCAGGGACCTGTTTCCTCCAGTCACACCCCATCTGCCTATAGTTACTACCCAGAAGTCCATTCAAATTATGAATTCATCAAATGGATTAATCCACTGTGAGATTACATCCCTCAAGATCCAATCATTTCACCTCTGAATGTTGCTATATTGCCTAACACATGAACTTTGGGAGATATTTCAGATCCAAACCATACCAGTAACTTAGTAACTTTGTGTTAAATTGGTAATTCTGTTTTTTAATTTCTTGACTTGTGAATTTCATGAACTCATTTGTAGAGTTAACTTTTACAGAGTAAATAACTTGATAGAATAAGTAATTATGCCTAGAATGATAAAAATTGAACCTGTACTTAAGAATTTAACATTTTACAGTTATATTTTTTTTCGCAAAATAAGTATCTTGTAGTTAATCATAAATTGGTACTTGGAAATTCATTTAGGAACAAGAACATCATGTTTCTCAGCCTTTGGATGATTTCAGCATTCCTCTTGGTATGTATATGCATGATTAATATAATGTTTAAGTTTAGAGTTAAAATCAGCTTTTTAGAAATAGATATAATATAAAAAAAGAGAATAAATTCTTTTCATGTTGTCTTTGACAAGATGCATTGTGTTTGTTGATATCCAATAGAGCAACAGGTGAGTACCTGTGCCCTGAAGGCCACATCTAGACTATGCTTAAGCTTGTTCTTGTAATCAGGTTTTATTGAGCATAGCCATGCCCATTAGTTTATGCCTTGTCTGTTATTGCTTTTAGCTGCAGCAGGATAGCATAGTAATCCACTGGGATTACAGGCATGGGTGACCATGTAGCCCACAGACCCTAAAATATTTACTATTTGGCTCTATACAGATTTCCAACCCCTGCTGTAGGGTCATGTAATCAATTAGGATCTCAAAAATGAGGTAAAAAGCATGAAAGGAATTTATGAAAGAATATGCCTAGGATTTAATTCAACATAGAAATATGAGTACTTTAAAAATAGAGAAATCAGTTCAGAAAAAGAACTCACTTATAAATAGTAAATTATTAGTTTTTCTTAAACTGGACAGTTTATTTCTTGCCCCTTGAATGCATGTATTCCCTACATCTTTCTTCTCAGCAATTCATTTGTTCACTCCTGTGCTCATAGGGCCATTCAGTCATTACTTCAGTCATTACTTCAGCTTCTACATTTTTTTTTGATGTTGCTCAAATACATACACAGTCTCTCATCTTTCTTTTCTACTTTTATCTTATTAACATGTACGAATTTTAAATTGGCATCTTCCTGACAGTGATATCACCATTCCAAGGCTTCTGCCTTGCATCAGGCCTCCTTTTAGCCGCCTTGTAACTGACCTGCTCAGCTTCAGTCTTGCACTTCCTAACCCCTCTATAGTTCTTTCCCACTCATATTAAAACAATTTTTTCATTTGTGTGTGTGTGTGTGTGTGTTTTTTTGTACAGGGGGCCTAGCACATGCTAAGCAGGTGCAATTAACTTGTATTTACATACTAGTATTAAGGTAAACATTTTCCCCATGTCCCTAGATGTTCTTGTACAATGTTATTTTTATTTTTTGGTACCAGAGATTGAATTACTCAGGGGCACTTAACCACTGAGCCATATCCCCAGTCCTTTTGTGTATTTTATTTAGAGACAGGGTCTCACTGAGTTACTTAGGGCATCCCTAAGTTGTTGAGGCTGGCTTTGAACTCAAGATCCTCCTGCCTCAGCCTCCTGAGCCACTGGGATTACAGGCATGGGTGACCACACCTGGCTAAAATATTATTTTTTTTCTTTTGCATTAGTTTTAGTTGTAGATGGACACAATAACCTTTGTTTTATTTTTATGTGGTGCTAAGGATCGAACCCAGTGCCTCATGAGTGCTAAGCAAGCACTCTACCCCCGAGCAACAACCCCAGCCGTACAGTGTTATTTTTAATGACTTCATTACACTCCAGTGGATGTGTGTTGTATCATTCCAAACAATTCTCTGAGACCAACCAAGAAGGCTACAATTCAATCCGTTGCTGACACTAACTACCTGGAGTTAGCACTGATCACACAGGTGAGGGGCTCAGTCTCACAAGAGGGCTTCATTTAGAAACCAGTTGTAAACAAGGTCCCAGGATACCTCCATTGCTGCCAAGCTGTTTACAGATTCGCAGGTTCCTTTGACAGCCCCCCTTTGCTCCTGCCTTCAAAATTCACCAGAATAATTCACAGAATTTGGGAAAGCACCTTACTTGAAATTATGATGCTTTTTATAAAGGCTTCAACTTAGAAAATGCCAAATGTAATGTTTAGGGCAGCAAGGAGGACAGCTCAGATTTCCCATGCCCTCTCTATGCAGGCCACTTTCCTAGCACATCATGGGTCTACCCACCTGGAAGCCCCTTTAGTTGTTTGTTTCAGAATTTTTAATTAAAGTTTCAGGACATAGGCATGACTTATCACAAACATGGCCACTGTGACTGAACTCAGTCTCTACCCTACCCTACCCTAGAGCTAGGGGTAGGATAGGTGGATAGGGGGCTGATAGTTTTAACCCTCTAACCATGAGGTTGGTTTGTGTGGTGACCGGCCCCATCCTGAAGTCACTCATTAGCATAAATTCAGGTTTGATCAAAAGAGCTCCTTCTGAATAATAAAAGACACTCCTAATATATACATACAACATATATATACACACACACATATATATATTCACCTATCCATATCTACCTATAGATATACACACATATATACACACCTATCTATATCTATCTATAGATATATATAGGACATTCTAAATATATAAACAACGTCTGTGCCTGGAACTAGGGACAAATACAAAACTTATGTTTTTTATTATACCACAGTGTGCCATAATCTCCCTGTGTCATCTCCCAGGAAAATCTAAATCTAAATCCAAAACGCCATAATATACGTTAGATTTTGATTTTACTTCCTGCTGAGCTTTCCTGCCTGAGTGGAAATAACCTTTAGTTACATGAGAAATGTGAATTTATTACCTCTCTCCACACAAACAGTTTTCTTCTCCTATCTCTGTTGTCTATATCCATTTGTGTTGATGCCAGCCTAACCAAAAAAAAACCATCATTCTGAATTCTGCCTTTCCCTTTCTTCTTCTCTTCAAGAGCCAGTTCCTGCCTATTTTATCTCCTTCATAATTCTTAAATTTTTTTCTCTTGCTTGTTTACATTGCTAGTGCAGCCTCATCTAACTAATTGGTTTATTTCAATTTTATCTGTGCAAATCTATTTTTTTCTACGCACTTGCTGGGAAGGTTTTTCCAGAACAGTAATATGGGCCATATCGCTTCCCTGGGTAACCTTCAACTGGATCCTCATTAGTCAGAAAAATCTCTAGGTTTCTTGGCTGAATATACAGTCTTCCGCAGTATTAGTTTGGATTTGACTGTGTCTTTTGAGATTTAGCTCACATTCCACCTCATACAAAAAGTCTGCTTCTATAACCTCCTAACCCCTTCCTTTATCTCCCTTGACTCACTGAGCTTCTGGGCTCCCCCTGAGGTGTGTGCTGCTCAATGATTGCTTCCAATGTTTTGTTACACTTAAGAAATGCTTAAAGATGATGTTAATACTTCAGCGGGATTGCACTTCATGGCTTCTGTACAAAAGAAAGTTATAGGAAGTCAGGATGCAAGCACAAATACAGAACCAGGTAAAGTACTATTTTTCTTTTTTAAAAAATATATTTTAATGTATTTAAGATAATCTGTGTGTTTTCTTAAGGCAGCAATTTAAAGGGAATTTAAAATTATGTGATATTAGTTACTTATCTAAAGTTCTCCCCAACAAGGGGAAATTAGAGATTGAATGTATAATAAGTAAAACATAATATTTTGTTTAAAACTGACATAGACTACATCCTATGTCAGTAGAAATAATGTTTTGAATTGGATTCTCTGTGCTCTGAGTTTCCTTCACTTGAATTGCCTACCTAAGGTTGAGGGGCCTGGGAGTAGGGCTGATAAAGTTGAGGTTGGTAGAAAACGAGATTGGGGCTAGTGTGGGAGGGGCTCATAACTCTGTTCAAGAGCAGAGGAAGGGAATGTTTGAGGATCTGCTGTTAATTGCTTGTAAAACTTATTCATCGATATAACTAATCATTATGAATAGTATCTTGAATAGTGCTCTGCTCATTATGTCACAGTAATTCTTATTATGACTTTCAGTGAACAGTTTCGTCTGTGTATGGAATATTTTAAGTACTTTCTAAACACACTCTAATTTTGTCTTTTTATAAAGTATTTACTGACATCATTAAAAATGATATATAATTACTATAGAATATTTGGATAATATAGCAAGTATGATAGATGAAAATTAACTATAATCATACAATTTAGCAATAATGTTTTGGGATGGTTTTGTCTTTTATTCTTTTGTTGTTTTATGTAGTTAGATAGAATACTTAGATAGCAAGTATCCTCATTATTTGAACTCCTCTTGTCCAGGTATTCCTCTTTCCTAGCTTTTCCCTGAGAGTTTTGTTATAGTTATTTCCCAAATAACTTGAAACTCTCTCAATTAGAGTGGTTTTGTTTATTTGTTTGTTTGATTTTTTGTTTTTGTTTTTGTTTTTGGTATTAGGGATTTAACTCGGGGCATTTTATTATACCTTCAGTCCTTTTTTATATTTTATTTTGAGACAGGATTTTACTAAGTTGCCCAGGCTGGCCTTGAGCTTGTAATCCTCCTGCCTCAGCCTATCAAGTCCCTGGTACAACAGGTGTGCACCACCCAGCATAATTAGAGTGTATTTTTAACATATTACTTCATTGTACTATATTTGCATTACAGTAATGTTGCATGTGGTCCTTGCTGCAGTGTTGAAGGTAATTCATATCTGTGTTCAATACTGCAGGGCACACGCTACCAATAAATAAAAGAACGTTAATTAAGTGATGTTTAAAATGCCTTATATTGGTACTGTGGTGTACACCTGTAATCCCAGCTACCCAGGAGGCTGAGGCAGGAGGATTGCAAGTTCTAAGCCAGCCTCAGCAATTTATGGAGACCCTATCTCAAAATAAAATGAATAAGGGATATACTTCAGTAGTAAAGATCCCCTGGGTTCAATCCCCATTCTGGGGGATGGGGGGAGAAAAATGAAAGAAAAAAAATGGACTGGTACAATGTTTTTTCTCATTTGAGATAAGACTCCTGTTATCTGAGAATTAACAGTTCAGTATATTTTCAGTAGATTAAATTTGGATTACAAGGTGTATCAGGGGTATTTTATATTCTATTTATTTATTTATTGGTACTAGGGATTGAACCCAGAGGTGCTTAACCCACTAAGCCACATCCCCAGCCCTTTCCCCTCACCGCCCCCCATGGTACTGGGGATTAAACTCAGGGCTTTGTGCATGTGAAAGCACTCTACTGATGGAGCTATATCCCCAACCCCATCCCCAGCCCTTTTATATTTTATTTAGGGACAGGGTCTTGCTAAGTTGCTTAAGGTTTTGCTATTGCTGAGGCTGGCCTTGAATTTGAGCTCCTCCTGCCTCAGCCTCCTAAGCTGTGGGATTACAAATGTGTGCCACCACACTCATCCTATTTTATATCTCTTTTGTTTTTCTTTGATTTCTACTTATGCCAAATGTTTCCCTGTATCATCACAACAAAACATAAAAAGTACTTTGTATTTATTTGCCATAAAATATTTAACCAATTTCTTATTGTTGAAGCTGCTAGCTACTTGGCAGGTTTTAGTTTTTTCTGCTCTATAAATAAAGCATAAGACCCCCCCACACACCTTTGTCATTCATATGATTTATGTAACTTTGACTTTCCTGATCTAATAGGTGACAGAAAGTCATTATTTTGTGTTTATTTCTGATTGAGATTGGGTTGAGCATGTGAAAGTTGTTATTTTGAGACTGGTCATGGTGATGCACACCTGTAATCCCAGAGACTCACAAGCTTGAGGCCAGCTTCAACAATTTATCAAAGCCCTCAACAACTTAGTAAGAGCCTGTCTTAAATAAAATATATAAAAGGACTAGGGATGTAGGTCAGTGATAAAGTGCCTTTGGGTTCAAAAAGATGTTTTTTAGGTAAATGATGAGTTTGCCTTTGGAAACATTCTTTAAATGTTGTTATCTAAGTATGTCTTTGAGAAGACCTTGAAGGTACTCTGCCTTGCTGCTGGGTAATCTTATAAAGTTGGCAGCCTGTTTGCTAAGATTCATCTGGAGACAGGCCAGGGAAATACATAATACTAAAACTCAAAAATCATTGTTTAAATTAAATTGTTAAAATTAAGTAGTTGTCAATCTTTATTACCACTTTTTATGCTCCATATCTAATTGTCAGTATTCATATATTTATTTCCTGTGTTTGTGAAATCTTTTCTGGTTTTTTTTTTTTTTTTTTTTTTTTCAAATCTTCTGATTTACAAGATAAGGAAGTTGCTTCTCAAGAAGTTGTTTCTGAATGTGATAAAAATCAGCAAATCATTTCTTCCACCTCAGGTGTGTTCTTTTTTTCTTTTCTGAAAACAGCCAGACTGATTACAGTTATATCTATATGAGGCCAAAGCCGAAGTCACCAACCCCGTTTAAACAAGCAGTTAAACCAATCAGCTGACTTAATAGAAACAGAATGACAATTGTTTTCAGTTTCCTTTTTTCTGGTTTTTTTGGTTAATTCAAAACTTTCATACCAAGTTTCCTGTTTTCTTTATAACAATGAGTTGTAGTTTTAAGCATGAAATTTGAAAGTAATGCTGTACTAAAATTGAAATGCTGGAAAATAAGATTAGAGCCCAAGAACAAAAGGCACAGAGTTACACTGCCTGCTAATGTACATGTGACAGCCCTGTTTATTTTATTTTTTTTTTAATTTTATTTATTTCTTAGTTGTAGATGGACACAATGCCTTCATTTTATTTATTTTTATGTGGTTCTGAGGATTGAACCTAGTGCCTCACACATGCTAGGCAAGTACTCTACCCCTAGCTATAGTCTCAGTCAAGACCCTGTTTATTTTACTACTGAATAAGAAACAAATAACTTTTATGAAATTTAGATGTTAAAACATTTTGAGTGGTAAAATTTAGCTATGGATTCTGAATATACTAAAGACCACTTAATAGCACCCTTTTGAAGAGCATGATCATATCTTAATGTGAGAAACTGGCTCACCTGTCCAAACCCAAAGAATGGATTAAGAGACACAAGGTATAGCAAAAAAGTGAGACTTTACTGATGGTCTTGCAAGATTGGGTATCTGGGTAATTGGGCACCCCCAGAGCAGTTACAATTGGCATTTTATTTTCTAGTGTGCAAGTTCCCTTCCAGGTTCCTCACTGGCTAAGTGCACAGTCTACTCCAGCATTTCCTAGGTTTTACTCTCTTGTCTTTACTCTTGGTTATTTCAAGAAATGTCTTTAGTTGTTTCCACCCTTTGTTCTCTCATGATGGGAAAGTGTTTTTGGGTTGAATGTATTCTAACATGTATTCAGTGTTTAATTCTTTACCTAAGTTACTATTTCCTAACAGAGAGATTTCTATCTCTATTGGTCAGGCCAGCCCCTTCCTCCACCTCCTGTTTGTCGAGGGGCTGTTCTGGTACATGGATTTTGGATCTGGCACATCCATAGGCTATGGGGCTATTGTGAGTTAACTGCTTGTAACTTTCCATTCTGCTCTATTTTCCCTCCAGCTACCTTTCTTACATCCCAATTTTACATTTAAAGCTACATACCGAATTCTGAAAATGGACTTTATTTCTCATGCCCCCCCCTTCTTTTTTACCTTTTGGTCTCATTTTCATTTTTGTGCTTTTTTCCTTTGGTATTGTCATGTATCCTAGCCATATTAGGTTTTTGAGGAGGAAACTCCCATGGTAAAGAGTTCACCCCTTTTTAGCAGTTCTGAAGGTGTCCCAGTGTTCTGGAGCACTTGGTAAGGTCCTTTGCAATTCAGTTGAAGCTTGTCTTCTTTCCAGACTTTGATTAAAGCCAAGCCACCAGGCTGGAAGTGATGAATTGTGACCAGAGGAGATATCAAGCAAGGAATCCCTTTAATTTGAGGGATAATAAAGTGAAGGATATGACTAGTATATATTTTCTTTTTTTAAAAATTTCTTTTTTATTTCTTCAGTTGTTGATGGACCTTTATTTATTTTATTTTATATGAGGTGCTGAGAATCGAACCTAGTGCCTCACACATGGCGGGCAAGTGCTCTACCACTGAGCCACAATCCAAGCCCCTGGTCTTTACTTTCTATAGAAAGAAATTCTGTAGTTTTTCCCAAGTAAGGGAGCTCATATAAATGTTATATAAGCAAAACAACAGAAACACAACAAAGTCTTTCTATGTAGGAGGTTAAGAATTTTTGTAGGTCTCAAATTGACTCAGATCAAATTTATGACTCTGACAGAGGTTTTTAGAGTTATTAGGTACTCCTGTATAAAACCCTTCCTTTAACCTCCTGGTATTACTTACTTTTGGGAGGACTGACACAAATATCCATGAAGTTACATTAAAAGAACCATTGTCTTTTCTTTAATTGTCAATGTATGGCTGCACTAAAGTATTTAAAATACTCTCCTGCCAGGTGTTTAAAACCAAGTTGGTCAAAATCGATCTTTTTCTTCTCTGTTGTTAAGAGTCAGCTGAGATTTGTTAGAGATCACTCTTGGGAAGT